GATTTATTCCATCACGAGAGACAAATTGCAGTACCTCCTTATTTTGTGGTACCTACCTATATCTATACTCTTCATTATATTTTATAATTATTGAGTGTTTTGGATTTACGTGTTTTCCCGATCGCGTGCAATAATCGAATTATACAGTTTTATTTGTACCTATATTATAACATTATATATTTTTATAATAATATGTGTCTGATGCAACCTAAGGCTGCCAGATAATATTTGAACATTATAGTAACACATACGTCATAGTATATTTATGTCAATTTCTTGCGTTCGGTTGACGGTTAGTTTTTCTCAACGAATTTTGAGTAGGTAAACCGACCGAGGTCGGCGAGAACCAGATCCATGACAATTTTAATGATCATCCGAACGGTTCAAACTCCAGGAGGTGGGTACCTAGGCATACTCTCGTTATGTTTTAATGGTCATCACTGTGAGTTGTATGATATATACTAGTTTGCCGAAACCAGAAAAACACGAATACGCAATAATACTGTTATAGGCAATATTATAATATAATAAATGTATATACTTATATCTAACTACATGACTACGTTGGGTGGTGGCTTAACGGTTAAAGTTGCGACTGGGTGCATATTATATAAGCGCCTAATGGGTACTAAGTTCAATTTTATAATAACGTATATAGCAGGATATGATAATATTATATTGTACCAGAAGAGCAGGATTTTTGTGATTCATCTGCCGATCATAAAAATATTTTAATACATATTTTTTTATAACTGCACACTTAAATTATTTAAGATAACATAATATGGTACATCATATATTATATTAACTATAGGCATTACGTACATACCGTAAAAGTAATTGCTATTTGTCGTCGTCCAATTACTTAACTTCCTACACAGGTACTTTAAATTTATGTTTATGTGATTCAAAGACGAAATACGATTAAAGTAATTAATGTTAGAATTAACGGAAAATGTAAAATAAAAAGTCAAATCACAAGACTAATCGAACGCGTAATGGGATGCCCCGAGTTTCATGTAAAAAAAATGATAATGCATAATATTCACGGGAAATCAAAACATAAATCTGATTTTATAACAGTAGTAATATATATATTAAATAATATATACACAAGGCAGATTTTAAATTTCAACAAAGGAACATATTTTAAATTCTTACAGTTTTTTCGGTACTTTAATATTATTACTCTAAGAACCCCAACTTCCAATCTGCACTCGAAAGGTCATAAGCCTAGTTTATAGTTGACAATAATTACATATTATTACATAATAATATAATAATATTTGTGATTAGAACATTAATAAGCCGCTATCATTAGAAGTGGGATAAACTTAATATATAAATCGATGAAAGGGGTAAAGATTTGTGGTGTTTAAATATATTAGTATGGTCTGACTCGTTGGAAGTAGAGTGCTTTGAAGTCTGGAGATTAAAAGTGGCAATATAAATACTAAATTGGTTTTGTCATTCTAAGAGGTATAGACTATAAAATTTACCACAATATATACACAGTATTTCTGACTAAAAAAAGACTCAACGAAATTCTCAGAAGCTTGCAGTTAGCATATCTTAACATACATTAAATCTCCTAGTGGTTATACAAATATTGCATATTATAATTTGTAACTGTACAAACACATGTTAAACTGTAAAATTCAAATGAATGTTAATAATAATCACGTGTTATTTGAAGATAGGTATATATACCACAACCATGGCAAACTCGCCTTTTCGTGCAAATTTTGGTAAATAATAATATGTATTTATTTATGGATATAGTTGTTGTATGACTTAATTGGTGTAAGAGTATTGACGTCAATTTTTTTGCAGCCAAATAATCTTCTTATAACGGTGGAAATTATACGAAAAAAGGTCATCAACCGTTGAATTAGTCATGTGCACTGCCAAAAACGCGTATTTCTAGTTTTATCTGTAGTAAGTGCACTGACTTAACAGTTATTCGATTTTGTAATTTAAATTTATATGCTGTAATTTCGATGAAGATTGTACAATTTCATAAATATATAAGTATCTAATTTAACATATTATGTTAGGACTTACGATAATATCATAATTCAAAATAAGAATGAGTGTAAAATATAATATAGTTTTATCAGGTTTGGGGTATGTTCGATCTGTCAAACTACATATAGGCACCTAGTGCCACCTACTATAGAATTCAAACATAATATAAATTTCAAGTTCCATTTAACTCGTTCATACATAAAAAAGAATTTATCAAACTTTGTATATAGATAATAAGTCGTAATTAAGATGATGTTGTGATGGAAACGTAACGAAAGAAATTACGATTAACTATACTATAGGTGTACAATTTTTTACATAATTTTTATTTTGGCAATCTATTAAATGCGTTAAACAATATTAATCTTTATCGATAATTTTAGATGAAATTATAAAGAGAATAACATTGTAAATAGCAAGGTCCAAGTGGAGGTATACTTCGTCTGAAAGTAAAACTATATAACTCAAGAAATATATATTGTTGCGTACATCTTATATGTATCCTACTTCCGTGTATGTTAAATATTAAAATGTAATGTATAATATGCTATAAAAAAAAATCACTCATAATGAGATCTATGATGAAAAAACGAAGTAATTTACGCACTTGTTTACACCTACAAGCTTATAAAAATGTAATCGAAAATTTGTACAATATATGTAATTATGTACTATTCGATAAAAACAAAAACAAAATAAATTAAGTCTATATCATGTAGGCAATAACAATGTATGCACCTGCTTTATTTTTTTAAGGTTAGTTCAAACTGTATAATAATAATTATGATATATGATATATATATATATACACATACATATTATTTACCATTACCATTAGACGTCGATAGAAATGTATGTTTGACTTGGACCGAAAAAATAAAAAAAAACAATACCAAACGCTTTCAACACCTACCGGTAATAGAATAAAAATATTGTGTTAATCAAATATAGACATTCCTGCAGTATTAGGTATTTTTTACACCGACAGACTATTGTTAAATACTTTTTTTAATTTAAAGACACCGCTATTTTTAAGATGGGTTTTGATGATTATCTCGGCATGTTTGTATTTGGTTTTCCACTAATTAATTAAACTATTAACGTATCGGTAATATATTATATTGTATCACTTGATGTAAGAATACAGCTTTATTTAAAACCACATCACATTATAACGGTGTGCTTTGTTTTGGGGTTTTGGCTGATAAGTAAATAAAATACTGTCAATAAAAAACGTAGTTTATGATTACGATACCTGTACACGTCTTCGATCTATTAAGTTATTCTATATTTCTATCTTCACTTGATATAATTATTTTTGTATTATTAGACTCTAATTGTAGAGCTAGGACTAGAAATCTAATACAAAAAAAGTATCGTCATTGCCGCAGGCGGGAAACTGTATCGTTTTCTTAAAAACGTTGGACATTATTCCATAGTTGTTTTCTTTGTTGTAAACAAAATCATAAACACCTGCAGCTAATAATATATGCGTGGACATTCGCGTTGTAAACGAAAACGCTTTACTCGAAAATATATACCGGAAATCCTATTTATAAAACACATATTATATATAGCCATATAGGTAAGTTTCGGTGCGAGTTACCGACATATTATACACGTGCAGTGCCGAAAGTCGTCGTTTATTTCACCGCGGCCGCATTCATTAACACCGTACGATATCCGGTAGCAATTAAAAATAAAAATAAAGAGGAAATCTTTTTTGTGCTCGTCTTCCCTGCTATTGTTTTGGGAATCTCGATGATAATTGCCACCACTGCTGTCGATTTACGTTTATTACAAATGCATTAAAACCAGTGAAAGGTCTCTCGACCTAGTCCCGGCGTTGACCTAGACCTTACTCCGGACGGCGAGAAAGTAACTTGCGCCGTCGGTCGCGTGTCGAATACGAAACACGACTGTAAAACACGTCGTATAAGTAGGCATGTGTAGTCTTGTCGCGCCATCGTTATTTCAAGTTCGAGTCTATGTATATATTATTATTATTATTGCAATACGAAAAAAGATACGATTTGGACTTGAGGTTGTCGCAATTCTGCAGAAGCATAACATAAACGCGAGTACCCATATAGTATTCAAGTGCTCATTTAGCGATTTTCGAAAACGGCCATTTGCGCGCCTCCATAGTCCATACCCACGTAGGTAAGATTTCTTTCTAAACGTCTATTATTATATTGATATAACGTCGAGGTATACGCGTCACTTGGATTAATAATTAGCGGCACTGTCCTACATCACGGCGTATATATAGGTACCACCTTATTCTCATGACTGTGCTCTCTGTGTATACTTAGGTGTTCGGGCGTAGGTATACCCGAAAACGTTTAGATGCCTCGAAAACTCACGATGGATGAGCTGTCGACACTTTAATTGATGATTATATTCGATAGGTTCGTGACTTCAAAAATTTGTTTTTTTTTCGAATATATTATTGTAACATGAAATAATATTATACAGCTAAGTGTCGCGAATTTCAAATGTTTATTATACCAATTGTATTGTTTTGTTGAGTGATAAAACAAAGAATATGCGTGTGCTGTGTAAGATAGTTTTTTGAACCGTCAGCACTGTCGATTTATGTAACGTCAAGATAAAAAAAAACCAACATCAGTACATAGAGCTATCGATTTTTTTAAAACTATTTTATCGTCTAAAAATTAGTAATTTTATCTTTTGTCATTCTGAAATATTTTGTGCTCTTTGAGTACCTGCACGAGAACGTATCTGATATTGTTTTCAAATGTACTTAAGTATAATACTGCGCAAAGGACCTGGCATGGCCTTAAATCAGCAAATCATAGCCAAAGGAATCAAAAATCGCTGATTGAAGTATACCAACAAATTCCCACGAGCTTCTGCATTTTTTACAATAATATTATTATAATTTATTTATAACGATGGACGTCGTTACGAAAGAGGCATATTATTAATTCTCGTGTTTTGGTCCATAGAGTCATTAGCGCTGTCCATCACCCACTGACTCCAACATACATCGAGCAAACGGCGCCGCCGTCGAAGACATGACGACATCTGCGGCCTGACCCGCCAATCGCTTTAGCCGATCGTCCATCCGACAGTGAGAACAGCGACGACATTGACACAGCAGCATCCTCGTATACTTATACATACTCTGCTCCACGATGAATCGGTACACTTGTGCGGCTGTTCTGACGGCGGCCGTTGCGCTCTGCTGCGCCGTGGCCGTCACCGGATCCGACGATTCAGCGGCTGCGACAGCCCGGGTGACGATGGCTACTACGACGACGATAGACGACGGCCACAGTCAGCTGCTGGACACGGTGGACGGGGTGTTGGACGCTGCCGACTCGTATCAGCTGGTGCCTGGCGTTCGGATCAAACGGTCTACCGATGATACCGCTGACGTCGCCGCCGTTTCTCAGGACGACCGTGATCGCGATCCCGAAAAGTACCTGATCGATAGGCTGGCCCGTTTCGTCGGCACCCATGTTCTGGATGTCGACTTTGCCGAGATGTTCCAGACATCCGGCAGGGCGTTCATCAACCTTCATCATCTGCGTGAGTATAATATAATAAAATATAAAAATATTATAATTTATTGCGTGTCTCGAAATTAATATACTATAGTAGGGGTGCTAGGGGTAGGTTTTGGAATTTGATTCGAAAATCATGAATATTGGAAAAGCTCATATGTTTATGATAATATTAGGTATAATAACGAGATTTTTGTATGACAACTCATGTATTATATTAATAGTTATTAATCTAATATGTTCGTTGTCACCACATAATATCACATATCTTCAGTCCCTCCCAATGAACTTTTTGCTGCTTGTTTTATCGAACGCTTAGTACACATTTCTACTAATTCCTACGACGGTGACTATTGTGTGTGTGTGTGTGTGTGTGTGTGTGTGTGTGTGTGTGTGTGTGTGTGTGTGTGTGTGTGTGTGTGTGTGTGTGTGTAGAAATTAACAAAGTATACAATTTAATATTAAGGTTAATATGCTTATTATTATGCCTTTTTCGATTTACTAAAAAATCACGGATAACGAGACTTTGTTTTACGCAACACATAATAAACCATAATAGACATGTCCTAGAACCACGCGCATGTTACCTTATAAAATGTATAGATTTATAAAATTGAATTATATTAATAATTAATCTATCAATAATTAATATTATAATGATAAGTTGAGGAACTGAGAGTATGTTTTGGGCACCATTGGTAAAAATGATTAGAGTTAGTAATTGTGCATGACGTTTGTTAAATTATGGTAATAACTTAATAGTAATAGTCACCTATAACCTATAGTATTTTTAGTTAATTGATTAAATATGTATACACTGTACTTGTACTATTAATAATGTTATACTTATAATGTATACGCATGCGAATATAAAAAAAAACACGACCGGTGCGGAATAAGTTAAAGGACACAACGATTGTATCTTGTATCAGTTGTATCTATAATTAATATTATATTTTTACTTTACAGCAAGATTTAACTTTGGCAAGAATTCATTTTTGACCGGTTTTGGATTGGGTTTTTTGGCGTTTGGCTTGAAGAAATTGTTATTGCCGATCATCATCGGAGCACAAATCGTCAAATCCATCGCACTCGCCGCTCTGTTACCGACACTGTTGGGAAGCGTCGGGAAAGTTGTTTCGAAAGGTACGAAAATCGTTATAATTATCAATATACCTAGTTTTGTCAATATTAAAAAAAATTGATAATTAGTTGACTTGTAGACTCTTAAAAAAAAAATTTCATTAAAAAAATTTTTTAATTTAGTATTCAGGTTGTATTCGCTGTTGCAATCAGACGGAATTTTTATTGAGCTTTTATACTATAAATATGTAGTCTGTGTATCTATAAAATAAATTAAATTATGCAGTGCATTTTTATTGAAATACAAATGTCTAGCAATATCGAAGAATGTAAATGTGTCTCAGACGAGTATCATATATTATATATATTAATTTTCACTGTTCTCTTTATACGGAGTGTCTATTTACTTTGTGACTGCTTATTAGATGTCCTTCTAAATTGCCTTCTATACCTTCTTCTCTCGGACAACTTCGTTTTAAGGAAACTGATTAAGAGAAATTGTCTTATGTATTGAATTATAGTTTCCTAACTTTGAACGGTTTGCTTTTATTTTTTACTTGGCGTGGGCCGTAACAAGTTTGGGCACAAAACGATATTTTTACTTGGGATTTGGGAGATAATTGGGAACACACGTTTGGGTACATCATATTTTAAAAATAATTCCACATTTAGGTACCTACCAACGTTTAGGTATACATTTTTTTATTTTACTTTTTAGATCCGTGTGCCTATATTACCCAGGAGACACCACAAATAATCTCCCAATCATTTTTTTTTTAAACTTAAAAATATTTTTATTATTACATATTGTTATTTTATTATAGAAAATCATTAGGTCATTCATCATTCATTATACATCATTGTCAACTTTTTGCATTACAACTTTTTTTTGATATAATATTCAACATTATCTGAATCCTTTTTTATCATAATATTTCTAACATTTCTCTAAATAGAAGATATCTTTATAACAATTTATTTTTGAATTTCCTTCAAGATATTGATTATACTAAAACAATTTACTTGTATAAAACTGAAAATACTACCACTATTGTAGATTACGTGTGTATATTATGATTTATGAATTATGATGTATACCCAACCGTGTCTTATATATTATGTGTACCTAAACGTTCTCTGATAGACCTGGTAAAATCATAAAATACCTTTTATTCTATTCAAAACGTTCCGTTTATTTGTGCCCACACTTGTTGGCTTTTGTGTTAATGTGCTCAAACGTTTTGCACCCGTGGCGTGCATGGTATACGACATATTATATTGGACTATAATACATTTATAACTTATAGATAAGTACGAAATACTTCTTAAAACGGCTATTAAGTGAAAAAAAATCCATAAATATAGATAAATAATAATAAATTAACATACATTTATTTTTATCAAAAATTTGATGGCTGTGTTTTTTTTCTAGTTTTGATTTTTTTTCTGCTTATAAATGAATAACTTAAAACTAAATTATATATTTATTTAAAAATTTTTCTTGGTTTTCTATTGATTTTTCAAATGAGATGTGTTCATAAGACAATTTGTGCACAGACAATATTTTACATTATATCAATTCGACGGAAATAAAAATAAAACCCTTTAATAGATTTGGTTGTATTAAAGTTTCTGTAACAACCAATAAGGCTTAAATGGGCCATATAAAATTAATAAAAGCAACTTTTGTTCTTACCTCACATTTCTAGAAAGGAAACTTGTATATTGTATGTGTCCCTAGGAACATAGGATATTTGACCTGAAACTAACTAGTTTTACAATATTATATTGTATATTTTAGATTTGATTGATACGAGTAGGATTATTAGGAGGCCTGCAAGTCTTCAAAACAATGATGTTTTTTAAATCAATCTTATTTTGATTAATAAATCCTGACCACCTGAAAACTTTATTAATAATAAAACCTATACCTGTTGATATAATTCGATAATTTTTTGCAGGCGTGTCAAACTTCGCGTCAAGTTCATCGCACTTTGGGCCCAGCGCCGGTTCGGATGGTTTGAGTGACTTTGAATTTAAAGATCAACAACAGCCAAACATCGGTCTAGGTTACGACACGGCCGGCGCAGCGGATACGTCGGGGTCGGAAACTGGTTACCAGAGTATTTGGACGTATCCGCCGGATAACAATGTGAATGCGATCACCGCAAGCTACGGCAGCAGTAGCAACAACAGGTAACTAATAATAATAATTGTATTCCATCTCAAAACATGCCGCATTGTCAATCTAGTCGTAAAACTGATTACATGTCTTATGCCTGCTGCAATATATAATTACATTTTTGAATCGCGGAAAAAAAATTGTGAGTTAGTTGAAAGTATTATGATAAGCTTAACTCGCGGTCTACTCGTTTTCACCTCATCATTGATCGCAACATCGAGTTAATTTTAGTGTCAATTATACATTGACTGAAAATAGGATTTTTGTCGAATGATTCAAAAATCGTCGAAGTTTCTATCGGACATAAGACTAGCAGATCCAAAAGCTGCATTACGCACGAATATATAATATTAGGTGTACATTGTATAGGCTATCTACAAATGTATATACTTAGAGTGCGTAATCGGACTTCGTTTAGAACTTAAGTTAAGTCAGTGAACGTCTTATCGATACGAATACATTGAAGTAATATTAAATATTTATGCAGTTTGAAGAATGATGGTATAGTTTATTATAATGCGTACAGAGTATATTGTTGATGCAATTATATTATTACCTTGAGGCTTGAGGGTTAGACTGCAATTGATTGATATAATAATTTTACTATGTTATACCTATTAAAAAAAATGATAATAAGACAGCCGTTGAAGTTTAAATGATTCTGAGCATGAAACCATTTGATTTTGACTTAAATGCACCTAAATTTACGTATAAGATCATGATTTTTTTTTGACATTGAAATTACGCACGACACGATTATTTATGAATCCGGTTCACACGCCGTATTCGTTGAGTAATTTTTTCGTTCATGTACCATACGGCCTAGTTCTGAAATATTAGTATGATTTCCGTTTGTTACAATAAGATTCGTTAAAATCTATTTAAGTCAACCCGATGACCGTAAAAATAGCCCGCAGTAAGAGAAATAAAAAAAAAAGTTGCGCCAGTCATCTACGAATAATCAAGGAGAGTCATCAATTCTTTCTAAGCTTTCGAGTTTCGGTTTAACCTCGGGGGAAGGCGAAGATTAGTCAAACGGTCTATTACAATGATATATATTATATACATATATCTATGTTATACTGTTACTATTGTTATACACATAATATGGAATGTTTATATTCTAATAAGTGTTTTTGATAAGCAATTTGAAGAGCGGCATTAGTATTTTGTTTTCAATATTTAACTGTAAAACGTAGAATGTTAATGTATTACTTAAAGTTCCGTTATACCTTAATGAATATTAAACCATGTCTAATAATTAATATCGTGCTCGAAATCATAAATCCCTCAATTGATTAAGTCGATATTTTATAATTAAATTTGAAGAGAACGAATAATTTGCGTTGAAAATACATGTAATTCGGTATATAGATAAAATATAGTTATAATAATATTATAATATACGCAATAATAATGCACCTGCGCAGTGTTTCTCACTGAGCTTATATTATATTATTAGATACTACAAATCCGGTTTTAGTATGTTGTTTTGGTGACCTAATATTGTACTGAAGATGAAAACATATTTTATTTTAATTTCTCTCAAAAACACAAGGTGTGCTACACACCGCTGTTGCAAATCGTGGATATCGTATAATCCTACCTATCTAATTTATTATTGTACATTTATATAGTACCATCATTTATTATATTGTAACAAGACGTGATACACTGATACTTAGGACATAATATTTTTGTATTGGAGGAAGACTGGAGCATAACTCGCCGTTTCGTATTTAGCTGGAACTTTTACTATATTCATAAATAACAATATCATAATATAATATAACGTGTAGACGAATTCGTGTCATTACACGTTTCGTTACACAAGGACAACTACTACAGTCGGAAAACAGTTTCGTCGTTTGCTACAGGAAGGTATCTACTTAAATATCGGTGAGTTTAGCTACTAAATGACGTTTAAGCCGAAATTCACTACGAACATAATACGTATAGTATAACAATATAATAGTGTTATTTGGCGGTAATAGGCGAGACACGATTATGATCATAGCGTTATACCACGGTACATCGTATACATAGCGACGCCGTTAAATGGTTATTCGTTAAAAAACCTCACGACTGTTTATAAATACGGAAGTATAATATGTCAAGTCGTGTGTTTTGCTAAACGTTGTATTGTGTCGTTGGGTCATCGATCGTATTGTGTTGGCGTATTAAACGTAAACACGGTCGCGTAGTCGACTATTCCAATAATCCATGCTGATATGGGATACACCATACACGCGTATGAAAGTGTATGACGTATGACGTATACGTGCAAAGTAAAAATATGTGCAAAACGAGATTTCTAAAAAAAAATATATTCTTCTAAACTAACACATATTATGGATTATGGTATGGCAAAAAAATTAATGCATACGAGTAAAAGTAAATATTTGATGAGTAATTCGATTAAAGTTTCTAAAATATTATGTTTACGTATCTACATCACGACGTATATGTACATAATTTCGGCGTTCGCGGTTCGGTAAGAAATTTATTTTCTACGAAATAATATGAAAATCTTGGGTAGCTAAGTTTGGATAGTTCTAGGTAAGACAAAACTCATGGCAATTTATTATGCAAACGCTCCATTATAGACGAAAATGTAAATACTTGAAATTATTATACGGTATGCTAAAAAATTCTAAGTACCAGAATTTATTTTAATTATATTATACGAATATAAATCATTTTTATAAGATAATACAACATAATATAATATATGGTTCATAATAATATCTACCACCTTTAAGCAAGCTTGTGGTATAGTGGTAGATAGTTGTAATTTTAATTTTAATTATTAGATTATAAAAATGAACGTGCTTGGTGAATCGCCTTGTACATAATATTATAATAATATTTGAGGTGTAATTTGACGCATTTTCGATGCACGAGTAGCATTCGGACGACCGATTTATTTGGATAGTTAGCAACAATTTGACGTGTCCGCAGTGACCCGAAAACAAACGGTTTGAAAACATAAATCGTTTTAAAAAATCAATAACGTACTTTCATCTTTATTATTATTGTGAGTCTGATGACGGAAAATGGTAGAAACTATAGACGGTGGGACAGAAAAACAAAACAATAACGAAAGGCACGTGGACGTGCTTCCAGGACGTCGCATGGTGAGGACAACTATTTGCGTGATTTTCGCGTTTGATTTTTTTCCTCCGGTTGCGCGTTATTGATAACTCGGGCGAGCGCGAACTGGAAAATCGTCATTATTATTATTGTTATTAATTAAATATATTTCGGCCGACTGAACGTCATCGCCATGGCAGTAGTCGTCGTCAACGCTCTCCAAAAGGACACAAAGGAGAGAGAGCTCACGGATGAGCTGACGTATGTGCGTGCGTGTGTGGAACCAGTTTTTGGTTTTGTACGTGACCAAAGTGACCGGTGTATGAATTCCTCCTTGTCGTAATAATAATAATAACAACGAAATAGTAATAATAATAATAATAACGAAAAGAGAAAAACGCACAATAAGAGTCAGCAGAAGTCATTTTAACCTCAATTATTACTATAAGAGACAACCTAGTTGGCGTAAACGTAATATCCGTCTTTTGCCCGACAAGAGCGAAACCAAAAGTTGAAGAGTTCCGACAATAAAACGTCATTATAAAAAGGATGTTATTATATTATATCATTATATATTATTCTGCTGCTACCGTGGTATTGTGGCGAGCCCGTTAAAGATGAGCGTGAGCTTAATTGTTTACGCGCGAATATTTTTGCCCACCTGCAGCGAAAAAGTATTTCAAAATGTCGACAACGTGTCATATTATTAAGAAATATCACGCACTTCGGTAAAGCTTGAAAATATTATTTTCGTAAACCGGGATACTTAAAATGTATGCATATTATAATGTATCTATATTATGGATCAATAAATAGAAGAGTAAGTTTTCCAATATCGTAGATATTTTGTGCACGTATCAATCGATTATTTTAATTAGGTATTATAATTTATCGCGTTTATTAATCACTATTTGGACACGAGTCAATTGAAAGACCTTTTGAACTTAAAACAACTTGTTCATAATAGTTATACCGTATATAAAATATTACAACGAACAAAGATGCGTTTGTACAATACACAAACAATAGTAACGACTATTTAGATTCTGTTATGGGGACGATATTTTTGGTTTCCAACACCCAGAAATAAAAAACTTTTTTTATACGGCTTACTATATTTTGATACCTTGTCGACGTGTTTGATATTAAAAATAAAACTGTTACAATAATATTAAGGGGATCGGTGGCGGTGACGACTGTCTTTGTCTAACACACGCGCAACATAAGAATTCAGAAGTGTTTTTCGGCAAACGTACCGATTGATAAAGTGAAGCGATACGAATTCTGAAAACAGATTTGAATTTGCCGTCAAGTCTACTTGAGATCGGTCAGTCTACATTTTTAATTTTAGATTCTGAGTGAAACGATGAATGTTTTTTAATTTTTAATTTTAATTTTTTTTTTATCGTTTCACTCAGAATCTAAAATCAAAAATGTAGACTGACCGATCTCAAGTAGACTTGACGACAAATTCAAATCTGTTTTCAGAATTCTTATCCCTTCACTTTATTAATCGGTAAGTTTGCCGAAAAACACCTCTGAATTCGTATGTTGCGCGTGTGTTAGACAAAGACAGTCGTCACCGCCACCGATCCCCTTAATAAGTTTCTGAATATTTAAAGTTAAATTTTGTCCTTAACTCTAAATCATCATATGGGAGAAAAAACCTACCTATACCTATTCTCGTATATAGCTATACGAAGCTAATACTGCAATCGTATGATATTTAAATACACATGACTCGTCCATATCAAAATATTCGGAACAAAATCTACATAAAATTCGATAATTGCGATAATTGCTCACGGGAAAGCAAGAGTACGAGTATATGCCGTGGTCGTTCATCTGGATATCGGATTTGACTTCATGAATGAACACCTGGGTATTAATTGTTACGATTTTTTAAACTATAAATCGTTTTTGGTGTACTTCCGTGACGACGACGACATCATACCACGATATATTACTTACCTGTAGCCGAACCGTCAAGGTCGCCTCGGCGTTTTGATATTCGAGCCTCGGCCAACACGCTTCAACGCCGACCTGCGCGGTGGACGCGTTTCAGAAAGAGAAACTCTTTGGATATGATGTTGTATGCGATGGAATGTGTGTCAGACATATGTTTTATAATTATTCATGTAGGTATATAATATACGAAATGCATAGTACATTTAATACTTATATATATGCAAACGCATAAGAGTAGATTCATTCGCGCCCTGTCCTACCAAAACATCGAATCAAAAATATGTAACTATTGAGGTAGTGTTGTGTCACGTTGATTTTAAATAAGACTCATACAAGTAATTAACTGAATATAACTGTTTAACTCAGGGACATTCTTTTAAAACCAAGAAAATTGAATTATTTGTAACTGTTTTTTTTTTTTAAATCTGGGATAATATCCAATATTTTTTTAAGCTAATTTTTGGCAATATTCTAAAATTTGAATTAGGTACTTTTTTCAATAAATTAATATTCCTAGCAGCACAGGTCCTTGTCTATAAATTTGGACAGAAGTGTACCTAGACAAAGGTAACGGTGAGATATTTTCTATTGAATTGGATTCGCACACTTATATAGAACAAAACTACAATTAAAGTTATAACTTATAAGTGTAGCTTTGATCATAATCGATTTGAACCGTTTTTACTTAGTAAATTAGTCAACAATTCAAAAATTACTCATCGACACTTGTTTTAGTGAGCCAAGTATTAAATTATCCAGAATTATGGTATATCTTTAAAAAAAAATAGGAATAGCCAATAGCTACAAGGCGATGTATATCATAAATTCATAACTATACATACCCCAACACATCATATTATATTATAAACGGCGTGCGTGATCAATGATATACGAACAAATCGCAAACCATAATATAATTATATGTTATAATAATATTATAAATATACACTTTTCGCGGACGTGGCCTGCCGTTTTTCCAAGGCGTGGCGGCGCATTCGTAAAAGTGAGATTACCTTAATGAACATCAATGTGTTGGGTAGGGTACAAGTCAATAGTCATCGACATACGTAATTTGCTATCGAAGTATAATTGTCGGCAGTCAGATGCTCAATCGGACTTGTTTGCGAACAACGAATGATATGGTTGGGCCGATATGAATTGTTTTATCTTATGCGAGTACAATACATGTGTTCTCTTTAATATTGCGCTTATCGTAATAATATTAACCACGTGTCCACCGTTCATCACGATTGGTTTATTCATTAACTATTAATATCTTAGAATCACGAATTGATACACAAAAGTCAGTTTCAAGAGTCTTCATCCGATTACGAAGCTTGCATTATACATATACCCCAGCAACTTACATTGCAGCTGTAAATGACATATATACCATATTATTGTAATTATAAAAATAAATACTTTTTACTTACTTAGTCAAGTTTGTTTCTGTTGAATTAGTTTTTATTGCTGATAAATTACGTCTTGTAAACGTTTGTATAATTAGAGACCTGTCGTAGTTCCGTCAGTAATAGTGTCAAGATGGAAAAAAGCCGCAACAGAAAGCTGCTTTGTATTCACTCTCATCTTTGTATTTTCAAAATAAGTATGCTTTTTTCAAACAAGATAAAGATTTTAATGATGACCCTGTACATTGTTTTTGTTCTTAAATTTTGGTCGAAACTATATTTTCAAAAATTGAACGCCCACGCAATCGAAATAAGCTATTCGCCGTGATAACATACATACATTCACTAAATTTTTATTGTATTAATAGTAATATGTTTCTCTATGATATATTATTTTCATAGCTTATTGTTACATTCGTATTGTTGTTATTGATAGACTACTGCATTGATAGGATGATGAAATAATTGAAGCGCCGAGCAGTTTTTTAGACACACACACAATATATCACTATTATAATATACAATATACAACCATTGCAGCACGCGTCACGAACTTGAACCGAGACGCCGGTTTTCAAAACATCGTTAATTTATCATAATAATTAATGTATTATTATTATTCGATAGTATACGTATGAAAAAGAGACATTGGAAACGGGACGTAACATATAGTATAATACAATACTATATATAATATAAATATACAATAAAATAACGCGAACATCGATTGCGACAGGCCTGCAAGGAATCTCGCCGTTTCTCCGTTATTGCAGTTCTTCTTATACGCTGCTGAAACGGCACGTACAACATTCAGTGCGACAGAAATTTCAAGAAAAAACACCTTTTTATACACACACAACATTGTTTACCGATTTCTAACGAAAAATCCGTCGCAGAGCAATTTGAAAAATCCACCGGCCGGAAGATTACGGACATTTATAAACGGATTACTTTGCTGCAGATAACGCTGCAGATAAATCGTATAAAAAAGTACAATATAAGTATTTTATAATAATTTACCTACCTACGTGGTATTAAAGTAAGCTGCCTAAAGTGCCTAAGCCGCTGTTTGTATTACGTGCCGCCGCCGCCGCATGGTTTCCTATGTGAGCGTTTCATTTTTATAGCAGACGACTATTTTTTATGTAAGTATTATATAGGAACTATGACCACATTTTACTGCACGCCCCAAATCCGAAAACAATGAAATGTGTATACACACAATATTATATTCATAATTCATAATATTATGATTGTCATGGTATGTATAGGTAAGCTGGCGAAGATATGTACCTATATAACTTTCTGCATACTACTTAATACTTACTTATCCACTGCAGAGCTCGTTAGCCGTTATTATTTTCCAAACACCATGTATTAAACGTCAATCGATTCGAAAGAATTTTATTCGAATCGCGCATTCGGTTAGATCGAAACGGAACAAGATAATATTATAATATAATATTGTTATTAATTAATCGTATGCACTCTCGCGTCTCGGACGGTCATAATATCGTGCTTGAAACCGCATCTGTGTTGGATTCAATACTAATCAATATAGACATAAACGACTTCGGAAGACTCGCTGACTGCTGTAGCCCAATGGCCGGTCATTGCGTTTTTATGAAATGTCATCGAGTTTAAATGGTGCAGCATATAACAGTATTTTTTTTTTAGGCCATACGCATAATATATATATTATACGAGCTACCTACGATGGTATTTAAATGTTCTTGATTCATCAATCGATTGATTGCGTCGCTACATATATTATATATACATGTGGTCCATATATTATAATGTCTTCGTCGATTGACAATCGTTAAGACTAAAAAAATAGATAATCAAGTTTATAATATGAACGATGATAATATTATTATGTGGGTGTCGGTGCTTTATTACGATACAATCCTATTCTACATCGTTTATTTTTCATCGATACAACTCACTCGTTTCTACTTTTTTAATTAAAATTTTTAGGTCGAGAGATAATGTTCCAACTATATGATCAATTGGCACTATGATAAGTATAACGTTACTTGCGGTAAAAAATAGACGTCGAGTTGACGTTTAACTGACGCTTTATTTATTTTTGTTGTTCGTACGTGATGGTAGTCATAATAATACATCCACGCGTATTATAGCTAATAATATTATTGTATTGATAATCTAATAATAATAAAAAAAAATTAGATAAATGTAGTGTTTGATTGATGCAATTCAGTGGCATGGTACAATTGAAATTTGTTGTTGGGGGGTTAGAGGGGAGGACTTTAAGCAATACGCAAATAATTCATCGTCATATCTGTCACCTCACCCTTTTTCCTGATAAGCGACCACCTCGGATGGGTTTACTGCACTTCAAAGTTCAAACATATCCCTATAGCTTTCATACGACGGCGTGGTACACTCGTACTTTACCGCTTAAATAGACATTCAACCCATCCAACTTCCCTCGAATAAAAACCGTTATTAAAACTGCAGTACCTATAGGTACTTTATATATGAACATACAAACAATGTTTTAATTATTCGTCATAACGTGACTGCTGCAGGTATCCACTGAAATACGGCCAGAACGGAGTGTCCAGCACCAAGCTCCAGTCGGGCAACTATTACACCAAGGATAAGACCGAGGACTTCAAGGTGTTCCACACAATACCGGCCAGTTCACACCTGTTGGCCAACTACGATCCGTTTTACAGCCCACTGTTATCCAGGATCGACACGGTGTACAAGCAACTCGGATACACGACTGAACCGTGCCGGGAACGGTTGGTGTGCCAGATGTACAAAAACCCAGCCAAGTTCGCGCCTTACAGCAATCTCGTATCGGCACAGCTCAGCAGGTCAGTGCACGTTATTGGTTTGTCACCGATTTTTGTGTAGATAAACTCATTATCTATTTTGCGTATGATTACACTTTTGGGTAGGAAGGTACTTACCAATGTATCACAAGAGGAGCATTGATTTTTAATGAATTCTAATTATGTGGGATGTGGATTGGGTGCTAGATATAAATAACGGAATATACATTTAGCTACTGAACTCTTCAAAATGACAAAAAGTATCTAAAAATAATATTAGTTTTTTTATTACTATTGAAATAAAAAAAATAACTAAGGAGGCCATCACGATCGGCATTAGAAGGCAGTCCAAAAATATTAGAAGTTATTGAAAATAAAAAAGCTTTGCAGTAGTATACTCTAATAGATTCTAATTAAAAAATGTTTTCTATTTAGAAATTTAATATGCAAACTAAGTCTTGTATAATTACAAGTAGTACTTAGTAGGTTAGTTTTAATGTAATACACATTTTAATAGAATTTATTATTTTTTTAATTGCATTAAATGTACAGCTGACTTTAACTATCAATCAAATTCATAAATATTTACAAATAAAGTTGTTAAATTAAACGTTTTTTTATCTATTAAATGTTTACAATAAGATAATATGGTAAATTAATACTTAATACAATAAATTATACATTTACATTATATATTATAATGTAGGTGGATGATCTTATAAATTTAGATTCGTTTAAGAGATTGTAAATATATAAAACACAAACTATTTATTTACAATGGTCACAATACTATTGCAGTTAGAAATTAATATATTATATTTATACACGATCCACGGGACTGCGGGAGACATAACAATATTACTGGTACATTATTGCAGCAACTACTTTTCCTTTTTCGGTGGCTTTAAAAACCAATTCGGACATAAAATAACGATTTTCATTTGCGAAATCGTATATTTTTATTACAAAGTCACGAATTGTATTATTGTTATTACAAAATCAAAAAAAAATCGCGTAGGTACTTATTCATTTGTGTTCAAATCGCTATTGTACCACTGCGTTCAAGTTCTACGTAAAACTACGCACAGCCGTTATTAGATTTTTTTAGACGCAAATACACAATGCAAATGGTTTTATGCAGCAGTGGGTAGTTGTTTATTTACGCCGCCGACAGTAGTCAAAGTATTCGTCGTTATTTTAATATTTTAAAATTTGTTTATCTTATTTTTAGCTCATTTTTAATCCGTGTTCAAGCATATTATGCTTATGGGATGAGCTTGCAACTTGTATATAAAATATGTTGCTATGTACAAGTACCTCTTGTTTGCTTGTTCGCCGCAATTAATTATATTATTCATATTGCAATTATTATTATATCGCATTGTACAAACATATAAAAACATAGTTTGATCAATCGACGGTTGATTGGCGTTCTGCACCGCAGGGTTGTCGGACAGCAATTATTCTATTTAGCACAATGCACACGATAAGTTATAATAATTAATAAGTTACCAAATTAATGTACACGTGTGGTACAACGATACTTTCACTCGGTCGACGAGCATAAAAGTGCTTAATCGCGTGCCTATTGTTTTGCTGGTGCTTGCGACGATATGTAGGTCGTGACGAGCTTCTTCTTATTAGGCTGTTAGACAAACATGTTATTAGAATAATATTATTACCTAAACGGACGGGTAGGTATAATATTTAAAGAACAGTCATCGCCGACGATTTTGTTTTCTATTCCGCTTAAAATCACGACACGTCACGCGACCACCGCATCCGCGAACAATTATTGTTAATAACGATATTATTATTAACTATATAGTCATCAATTATTTTATTTTATTTTCATTATTATGAGACATAACAGGCTATTGCGGATACTTGTAGTTGGTGCTTTGAACGAACTTAATCTATACAATCGAAATTATTAATTGGCTGTATGGAACAATAATGGAGTTATGATGGTGTACAGGACTATCTATGCTATACACTATACAAACAACATAGGCATATTAAAATCGTTTTATTGTGCGACCAGTGATAGATTTTGAAACGTACAAGCCAACACCGTACACGTTAGTTTTAATAACGATAGCTTCCAATAAACCTCATACTGAAAGAAACAATAATAATAATATAGAGCTCGAGTACTCAAATGTATTCAAAAAGAATTTAATGAAATCTTTAAAATTTTCAAAAAGCATTGCTGTACCTATTTTCACACGGGAAAAGAAAAATATTGTTGTACTATTTATTGCTCCGACTTGTCAATGCAATACTAATTTCAAATATTACCCAAAATTATTAATTTGAATTTGAATCAAGATTTGATTATAGGCTCAATTATTAAAATAAAACTTCAAGTCCTGTTATTATTATTTAAGGTAGGTAGGTACATTTATTAAAGTAGTAATATTTATTTTTTGTTAAATCAACTTTAATTATACAGATAATACAAACCATTTGTATGGTAAATATTCAATTATTTAAGCAATAATATTTATTTAAAATATTTAAATACTTCAACACATGTTATAAAACAAATTTACTGTTATGCGTATGTATAATATTAAATAGGTGACCTGGTGTATAGAGTATTCGAGTGTCACACAATAATTTAATAATTGAATCCATATTCAGGTAATATAATTCACATGACACCCATCCACATTCAAATAGTAATTCTTCGTCAGATTTTCATATTTTGTTTCACTTCATAATTAGAAATCTGAATCAAAATAAAGCGTTTATTTTGTTAATTAAATTTACACTTATAACATATTCTAAAGCACTTTAATCAAAATGAAAAAATAGCTTATTTATTGTAATATTTAAATTGGGTTACACTATAATAACCGCGAGAATATTTATTTGCCATTGTATAATGTACCTTCATTCATAACACTCGTTAGTATAAGCTATTAGAGCAATTAAGTTTTTTTATTTAGTAAACAATCTTACTTTTTCGATTATACTTGAATAATTTATTCAAAAATGTACCTACTTAAAAAGTAAAAATAAATTTTACATCAAAATTCATTTTAAAAACTAATAAATATCGTACCCGGCTTGTTTAATTATAAAAATTATGTGTGTATATATTATAATATATAGAATAGATAAAATAAGCATATCCGATGATTTATTTTTAAAGTAAAATCTGTTTTAAAATCATCTTAAGCTAGTTTTTATAAACGAATTGCCATCCAACGTACGTTTTTGTCATTTCGATAAAGGAGGCTAAATGTGAAAGTTTGATAACACAATCGTAAATTCGTAACTTAAGCCAAATATCACTATCAGTAGTTGTAAATTTGTAGAAATGTTTAGCATATTTTCTCTAATGACTAATGAGAATGATTTGATTACAGTACGTGAAATAAATGTAAACACAAAGTTCAGTTATACTTCAATTAATCGTTTGATCATACTAATATAAAATCCGTTTACGAACGTATTTGAAATTTGGACATAATTTATTTTATCACCTACTTATTTTCGTTCCTTTTTTATTAACATAATATTATAATGTAATGGTTTTAATTTGCAACTTTATAAACGCTATAAATTATTTACCTATCGTAAAATCGTGAATCACGTAGGTATGTATTAAACCAGTATCACGTGCATAAAGTAAACATAGTGTACGAAAAGTATTTACAATAACCATATCACGTAGTTTGCTATATAATTGGATCATGTAAAAATATGTCAAAATATTTTCTTGTAAAGTGAAATAGGTATTTTTAGAATAGTAATGAACATATGGTAAATTAAGGTTAAGATAACAGTCAATCATATTATAAATCAGTTTAACTATTTTAATATACGTATTGGCAAAATATAATATACATTATTATTATTAATTATTATATCAAAACAAAAAATCTAAAATATAGAAACTTCTCTCATACCTACGTGACAGATAATATTATAACTTTTAGTGTCAACCAATTAATCAATTACATTTGTACTGTAGTCAGTATAGATGCAGATTAAGTTCTGATAAATCGAGATGTTAATTTGATTAAAATTTTGTATATTAGCGTGTATGTTATAAATTATAATAAATAAACCATATTCAAACATTATTGTTTAGTATAATTTTTAGTGTAATTAAGCAAAATATAAAATATCTACATTCTTTTCAAAAACATTGACAAATATAAATTTAAGTTGACTAGAATCTGCAGAGGTTTAGATTAATAACAATAATACAATTAAACTTATAAACTATTATGTAAACACATACTATAATAATATGATCTGCCCCTTGTATTATAGTTTATAATATTATTTTTGTGCAATTTATTGAAACAAATAATCGTTATCAATTTTTAATACAATACCGTAATAACTATCTTTAGTAATCGGAAAATAANTAAAATATAGAAACTTCTCTCATACCTACGTGACAGATAATATTATAACTTTTAGTGTCAACCAATTAATCAATTACATTTGTACTGTAGTCAGTGTAGATGCAGATTAAGTTCTGATAAATCGAGATGTTAATTTGATTAAAATTTTGTATATTAGCGTGTATGTTATAAATTATAATAAATGAACCATATTCAAACATTATTGTTTAGTATAATTTTTAGTGTGATTAAGCAAAATATAAAATATCTACATTCTTTTCAAAAACATTAACAAATATAAATTTAAGTTGACTAGAATCTGCAGAGGTTTAGATTAATAACAATAATACAATTAAACTTATAAACTATTAGGTAAACACATACTATAATAATATGATCTGCCTCTTGTATTATAGCTTATAATATTATTTTTGTGCAATTTATTGAAACAAATAATCGTTATCAATTTTTAATACAATACCGTAATAACTATCTTTAGTAATCGGAAAATAATTTTCACCTTCGTGAAGAGTAGGTAGTATAGCGTTGCAAATGTCGATCAAAAACAATATTAACCGTAACTGTTTGGTATTCCAGAGAGCTGAACGAACTGCGCAAACCGTCGTCCGAGAACCCGGAGATCTTGCGATTTTTCAAGTACATGAAAGCCGCCAAAGACGGTCAAGACAACAAAGACTGCGAGATGATATTCTCGTCATGCGTGTCGCAAAGGTCGCCGGACGATTCGGTGCCCATGATGACCACTTACAACGAGATCAACAAACTGGTACAGGCTCGAAACGCGAAGAAACTTGCGGAATCGTCCACAGTCGCCGACGGGGTAATGTCGGGATCTTCCATCGTCGCAGACAACGTAAAGTCGGGATCTTCCATCGTCGCAGACGACGTAAAGTTGGGATCTTCCACCGTCGCAAACGACATAAAATTGGTATCGTCTACGGTCGCAGACGACGTTAAGTCGGAATCGTCCACCATCGCAGTCAACATAGAATCGGCATTGACACATTGAAGTGAGTGGTGCACGAAGTACCTATTATATAAATAATAATAAATCTTTTAATCACGAAATATACTGGGGGTTTCTTCACTCGTGTGCACTTCTTGTCAGTAAATATATAATATTATAACTTTATTATTAATTAGCTTGTTGTTCAATGTACCTAACAACTTACAGCCCATGAATAAAATAGTGTGCTAAAAAAAAAATGTATCATATTTATCATAAATAAATATAGTTTACTGCGATTATCTGCAGATATATATTTTCGTCGTAAGATAATATTATAATGACGGACGAATTTTTTTGTCGCAGGTGAATAGACGACGTTTTTTTCGATCCATGACGCAGCGTGGCAGCATATATTCAAAGTCATTAGGAAATATATACGATACCTCGTCTAGCTCAACATAGTTTTATAGTTGTAGTTATTTTGTATAGTTACGGTTATAGTTAGTATGCGGAATGCGCAAATATTGTAGGATGATATTTATTTATTTATCGCATGATAAACTGTTATAATATTATGTTATCGGTATAACAAGCGAGTCTCATTTTTATAAAAATAATAATTTATTGTGTATACTCTGTAAACATAATACTTCGATAATTTGTCATAGTTTCGAGCCTAGTCGAGCTGGATGCATAATATTATAATTTATAATATTCTACGTTCAGTCGAAACACGCAGAGTACCAGTGGAGTACTGGAATCGCAGCCCAACTGACAAATTCATCGAATCTTATGTTTTCAATACCTATTATATATATTATATATATATATATAATTAAATGCCGGAATGATTTTTGTTAATTTGAACATACTTTCTCATCTCAAGTTCGGTCGAAGTATGAAAAACGTATTTCGAGTCCCATCCTTAGCACATCTATTTATTTATTAACTTATTTATTTGTTTGATTTTTTATTTATTTATTTATTTATTTATTTATTTATTTATTTATTTATTCGATTTGGGGTTGCTCAATTCGAAGCGTGGAGCGGAAGCACTTATGGGAAAAAGCGTTTTCGGAACAGTTTAAAATATTATTTGTGATATCGATACGATTATTATGTAAATACACGGATTCTGCTTACTTAGGTATCATATAAACTATTATAACGATGATTTATAATTAACAGTATTCCTAGTTTTTATACAAAAAACATTTCAAACATATTTTGAACTCGTAATCATAAAATAAACTATATAAAATAAAAACTAAGTTTAAAGTTTATTACTGTTTATTATTATCGTATTCTCCTCCAAAAAAGTGTCGAAAATATTGATTTTACACACAGTGTTGAGTTATAACTGTATACACCATTTATAGTTATTAGTTATGATTAATAACCAAATAACAAGTGTGTGTAAAGTTCAACTATAGATAGGTATTAAATTTACATTATACAATAGTAGCTACAATAGTAATATTATCATAATACTAGTAATTTTATTTTATATTGTATAATAATATCTTCATTTATAGATTATGGAAGATCCGGTTAAGTTTATTTAACAGATAAAATATACCGATGTCTTAATAGTGTTTTGGGCCTTTGATAATAACCGTATCATCCAACTCGTGTATTTATGTCATGATATAATATTATATTGTTTTAAATCAATTATTATTTATATTAATATATTTATTTTGTTTTAGAATTTTGTAAACACCAAACATATATTACGATGTACAGCCATACAATGTAGATAGAATATAACATAAAATAATACATGGCAGTTGTGTATTTACCATTGATGTATTGGGTACACAACTATGTATTAATATTTATAGTATTATTATAGTCAGTATTTTGTAATTTTTTTGTGCACTAATCAAACACAGTTGTTTTTAAAATCATGTTTTTTAATTGAATTGATATTTTAATTTCTTTTTTTTAAGATTCTGTACCTTCAAACACTTCCATTGTTAGCTCTTAATATAAAAACTTTAATTTAAAAAATATTACTATCAATAAATTGTGTATCAATATATTTTGTTTGTTATTACTTATTAGTATTCATTATTCAACGTTATAACTTGAATCAACTAATTCTGAGTATAACTGTATGTCTGTATACCTAAACGCCTAAACGCATATAATATCTGAACATAAAACATAAGAAAACATTTGACATTTAGGCACCATAGTTTAATTTTTATCATAATAGTTTGATGATATAAAGCGTTTTATGTAATATAAAATACAATATCCAATCTAATAATTATTTGATTTGTATGATGCTTGTTATTAATGAGCCCATTGCTTATTTATATTAATATGTTGTTCAAATTCAAATGTTACATAGTACTTTATAAATCAAAACCCGTATTTAGAGTAAATTGTAGTAAAAACCAAAATGTTTCTAACTATTTTTGTAATCAAATCATAAAATGTTGTTCTCTATTGTTATTAACAACAGTACTTTCTAAAATTAGGTCAAATTTTTATTATTTGTTAAAAGTTAATTTAACATAAACTTTACTAACTTCCAATTTTTTTACATGACTAATAATTGTTATTGGCCCAACAAATATCATGTTTTTCTGGAATATTATAGGTAACCAGATGGTTAGGATAGGTTATTGATTTAATACATGTTTCTTTATTTAATCTGCATTGTAGAAATACATAGATATGTTATCGTATTATGAATATAACACCAATATTCGTTATTTAATACGAAAATATATAAATGTTGCCTATACATTACGCCGCACAAAATATTTTATCTCTATATTATAATAAAAAGGAAAGTTACTTTAGCAATAATTAACGCCGAGCCGAACTTATTTGAGTTGTCGAATTTAAATTTGAGGATAGATCAATATTATAATGTCAAGTTCCACTAAGAAAAGATTTTTCAAAATTTTTATTTTAAAGGGATCTGTGGGTTTCTATATCAACATGCAACCATAACTTCTTGTATATTTAACTATGTGTTTGATCGGCGAGTAGATATGAATTGTTCCGAGAAGTAAAATTCTACCATCTATCAATATATATCTATGAATATAAAAATAAATCCCTATTTCTCTTAGTCAAGTCATCACGCTTATCGCTTATCATTTAAAACAGATCCATCTAGTATCTTTCATCTGTGATATAAAACAGTTCATTTATACTTTCTTAGTGCTCCTTTCACAGTGGAATCAATCGGAAGATTAATGAACAATTTTACAGTGAGTTTTTTGATAAGTGTTTGTTCATCATGGTTAGTTTAAGCAATCACTCTTAAAATTTTAAACAAACTTAAGGCACCCACGGGCGCCATGTGTATAAGCATGTGTATAGGTATACAATTTGCACGTTTATTTTAATTAATAACTAATTTTCCTCTCAACTTTCTTAATTTTTTAGTAAAATTTGGTATTTTTGTAAAATTTTTTGGGTGACATTGGTTAATCGGGCAGACCAGGTTTAAGCATGCATCAAATCGAAGTATAGTACATTGCCTACCGAGGTGGCTGTCAGCTGGGTTACCCTTATAGCCGCTCATCGGCATGTACACAATCAAAAGGAAGTTGGCATTTTTAACAAGCAACGAAGTGCACGGGATCAGCTAATTGCTATTTAAATAAGTTTTTAAATACTGTCTTCTATTAATGACCCTTTGAAATATTAAACATGAAACCCAAAACATAAATAATAATTTAAATTGTACTCTTAGAGTAAGCAGATGGAATGTGGATGGAAAAAAAGTGCAGGTATATGGTTATTAATAATTATTAAAATGTGTGAAAAATAACTTGGTTATTTTTTTTTCTTATAAATACGATTTTTAGGTAAATCATTATATCTCAAATTCTCAACTTTTAACAACATACAAGGTGATTTACCAAGCAATTTCGTCTCTATTTTCTTTCTTTTTTTTAAATTAGATTTTAGTAAAAAAACTATAATAGTTCGACAGTTAATACAGCTATTTTCTCTTTAATAATCAATTTATTCCAATTCTGACATTTGGGATTTTTAAATTATTTACTCAAAAACTATTTTTTACTTCAAATTTTGTACTATTTAAGGAGTGTCCTGTACTGATACAAACCTATATTTTTCAAATAAGAACCCCCCTCCCTTTACTATAAATTATTTAGTATATAATTTTTTTGAAATTTGTATGTACTGCTTAATTTAAAATTCAAGGTTAAAACGAGCAGTTTATTAGTAATTAAAGTGCTAAAGTGTTTGTACTAAAGAAAACAGTCCTTAAAATTGTTTTACAAAAATATAAATTAGCTGATGTATTATTGGATCCGGTTTTATTATACTTGAGCCATTCTTACAAATTATAAGTGTTGATGGATTAATATAAATCACTACAATTTTAAAATCTCTATAGTATTATACCCAACATATCTATTACAAGCCTATTGTTATTCACAGAATTTCTCAAGTAGTATAAATAATATTAATAATTTCGAAATATTGTCTTAAAGTAAAAAAAAAAATTTGAATAACTCAATTAAGGTAACGGGGCTTATTATGTTCGGTGGATTAACTTGTATAGTAATAAATATTTTTGGAGTGAAGAGCATTAATGTTGGAAAAGTTGAGATTACGAGAGGAAAAAAGGGAAATTAAAAAAATCGATTACTTGAAAATAAATAGAGGGCCAATTAATGAGTAGATGTTGAAGGTCACATGTGTTCCCTCAAAGTTAGGTAGCTTTATGGTTTTTATGTTATTATGTTATTAAGATAAACCAATAGGCTAATCTTGTAGAATTCGATCATCAAAAATTAATTGTTCATACTTTTAATTTTATTGCAAAGCTGATGACAATTAGTTCTAATATAAAGAGTGAGAATTAAATTTACGTTTTAGAGAATTATATTATAATAATTTAATAATAGCTAATTTTTATAGCAAACAATATTAATCTAATATGTATAAAATTATGTAAATATATAACTATTAAATACCCAATGTGGATAACATTTTTTTCTTTACAATCTAATTTCAAGTATATCTTTATCGCATTTATATCCACAATTTATGGATCAATATAATCAAATTAATAATTATAAGTATCTATTCTTTTCTTATTATTAAGCGTATACGTAGGTACTATAATATACAAAGCTATAATTGTTGAATATGTGATTATTGCTGTTTTGTACTGAGGGGTGCGGAGGTGAAGGTTTTTATAATTCAAATGTTTTCGTCCCTGGATACAACTCAACTTATTTAGGTTATTTTAATATATTTTAAGTGAATATTAATATTTAACTTCTAACTTATGCTAATAACTAAACAAGAAATCATATGTTATATTTTTAATAATAATTCACTTTAGCAATATTTTAACGGTATCGTTAACGAATTGTCTTTTGAAGTACTTACAAATGCCTGAAAAATATACAATTAAATGTTAGACAAAAAGAAAATTTCTTACAAACTTTATGCTGTAATAACATTCTGTGTAAATTAATAAATATGTATCTACATAGTAACTCGCTGGGGTAATACATATAGATAAAAACCGGTCTTAAAATCAACCAGTTTGGCTTCGAAATTCCTCATCGATTTTGGAATGAAAATCTTCTCATATATAAATAGGTAACAATATTATTTTGAGTTGTATATAGGTAGTAGGTACCTACCTCACTTTCGACCCATATTATTAAAATCGTATTTTTTCAGTGTATCTATCACCGCCTTAGTGTAGAGAATCAACATTTCCGCAATAAATTAACGTAATATTTAAGTAAAGTAACGTACAGGTACGTACAAAATGCGTATTATTTATGTGTGCGTCGTTGTTAACTTATATAGGCATTCAAGCATAACATGATAATAATATAAAACATTATTATTGTTGATACGGTTGATTAGATACATAGCACGTATTTTACTCCTGCACAAGATTCTACAAATCTAACCACAGAGTCATTCGATCGTCATGGTTATAAAATTATAATTCGTACGATTGATAGTTATACGTATTGACCACCGCGAATCATTTTAAACGCTTTTATTTCAGAGGCGTAGCGTCTACCGCGAATTAATCGCATTCTTCCATTCCTCCAAGCTTTCAACTTTAAAATATAGGTTACAGTTTTAGTGTTTTAGAAGCCATAATTCACAGCAGTGACTGTCGGCGTTTTTTAAATTTGTGCCATCCTTTTTAACCTCGAGTATCTGATAGTGCTCAACCGTACTACCAATTAAATGGTAAACGGTCATATTGTACGGTCCATATTGCAGAACTTGGACACTTTGTACTATCGGTACAATTGGGTGGTTTATTTCATCAAAATAATGTTAATAACCTGTCATGCTTGTTACTTTTTGCCTAAATATTCTTATTGTATCAAATTATATACACATCATTGTACCTATATGGATGTAAAACAGTTTTCGACGTGACGTATACGTTACTTATGTTTTATTGTAGAAAAGCTTATTTTGGCCTTCCAAATTGGACTCAGCTTTACGCGTAAATGCCGTTTATGCTATGATATAAACAAATTTTTAAATCACCATTTATTTTTTTAATGGTGATAGTATAATATATTTATTTATTTTTTATAATATGATATAATATGAGACTTACCCAATTCAAATATAAATTCATCTATAGGAGAATTAAATAAATAATGACACAAGAACATTTATAACATTTGATGTCTATTGTCTACTCTTTAGTGCAATGTAAAAATACTATATAAACGGTTGTAGGTTTGTATACGACTTAAATCTCTTCGAAATACTCGCATACTTGGACAAAAACAATTCAAATTACCGAATCAATGTTTTTATCATTCGCATCGAATCGCTTTTAGCAGCGACACCGATACCGATATCACGCTGGCATTTAGGTTCATTGTTGTGAAATTGATTTTGATTCTAATCTCCCGGGGTCTTGTCGTTGAACAATGAACCATTATAGCGGCTATGAGGATCGGTGGACTGTAAAATGTAAATTTTTATGATATGCGGCTATTAATATTATAATGTTATATTTTCGTTGGATGTTGTTACTTACTTTTTTAGATTCTGAGCGGATGAGAGATGAATGTATTTGATTTCACTTTATTGACTTTTCACGCCAGTCGTTCGGTGTTTTCCGACAAAACAAGTATAGACGTATCGTTATTGCAGAATCATAATAATATTGGTATTGTATTTTTCTATTATTATTACTATACTGAAATTAATGCATCACCGCCGCGACCCGGATGCCGGTCAGCCCGGCCCGTCGAAGAAAGTCCGGTGCGTCACCGCCGGAGCATAATGTGTGCGTATGGTAATAAACTGTGTTTGTTCGGATTATGAAATACTACGTTTTTTTTTCCTTTCCAGAAGCGTGTACGACCCCACGAGGTCGTAAGCGACGCGGTCGGACGACGATTGTAAAACATTATAATATTAATATCTCGCAGTAATCGGGCGCGCGTGCAGCAACACCGGAATATCCGAAAAAATAACAGTGACTCAGCGAGTACAACGGACTGTGTTTATTATGTGGTAGGCGTCATAATAATATTATGTAACACCACAACGTTCGTGTTATGTAATCCAAGGAAGACTAGGTCTCTGCAGCAGTTCCCGGTATCCCGGACCGCAGGGTTATAAATTATAATAATATCAAAAGGATAATAATATTGTTCATTAGACTTTCACGGCGGCGGCGGCGGCGTGGGCGCGACTTATCGGTCGGCTATTATGACGGCGCCGACGGTGTAATAATAACGTGTCTCATCTCGGCACGACCGATCTGGTTTAGAGGTTAAACGAAGACGACGTAGTACTTTAACTAAACGACTGTAGCAGCTGCCCTATGTGGTTATTACTATAGCCGAGAGCGGATTTTCTTAGGCTTACCTAAAATAATGATATTTGATTGGCTTGAAATATGCGATGCATCTTGAAGAAAAAAAGTAGATAACCAAGGAATATTCATAGTAAAAAATGTATTTTATCAAATTGGAACATATTATTTTGGCTATACGTAAGCGCCGGACACGCAGGACGTAATATAACCATAATACAATAACTAATACAATACACAAATTGGTGATTGATTCATCAATCATGCTCGTTCCCATTTTTATTTAATGATTAATTTGTTAAAATTCTTTTTGTTTGTATTTTTAAATGAACCAAAACATCTCATTTTTAAATTCTTGACATTTTTTGTACATCTTACTAAGTGTCAAGGTATGATGCGAACTTCTGTTTTTCTTTTTTAAATGTGAGTCCCTATTTTCTAATGTAAGTAATGGATTAAGTAATTTTTTAAAAATTATGAGGCATTAATATCAAAATTCTGACTAGTAGTTTCTCAGTAATTTAAAATGTTTACACTTAAGATTATAACCTTTAAAAAAGGTTTTACAAAATTACCTACAATGTCTTACACACCCATTATCGTGTGCCTAAAACGTATTACCCTTAGTGCACAAAGCTTAATAACTCGAAATCTACTCGTTAAAATATTTTAAATACATCATAGTTTTAGAAGAATTATCCAATAAATTATTTACGATAGGAAATAGGGGTTCTTATTAAAAAAAAAAAACAGAAGATTGTATCCCCATTGCACCCTCCTTAAGTAATACAAACCATTAAAACATCTGAATAAATTAATTGCTAAAGAAAAAAGGATGGTGAGAATGATTGGTAAATCGTCCTGTATTAAGTGTGATATAGTCGCCAATATAATTTAATACCTAAAATATGATATAATCGCCAAGGTTATTAAAAAAACCCAATATTAATATTGTGCCAACATTAATATTTCATAATTTAAAAAATGTAAATAGCGTAAGTGCAAAATTGTATGAATAAAAAACAAGAAATATTTTATATAATTTAAACTTATAATACATTTGTATTGAGATTAGAACAATACAGTTCTAAATAAAATATATGGAATTAACCAATTATGTACCTGTGATTTTGGGTATTTTATACGATTACTGATACTTATTTCTTTCTTATAACGTTCTGGAGCTTTTTTCAACCAGGTCTAATTGTTTTAGGGATGAGAAAATATTTAGCGTATTTTTTAAATTTAATTATTTCGTCGGTTTGGATTTTTTGTGTTGGGAAAATGATTTGTGTGATAAATATTTTTAAAAATGTACAATTTCTGTTAATAATTTGCTTGCCCTCTAAATATTAATACTTTTCGGCCACGATTACAATAACAGACCTCTATAATAATCTAGTGTTTTAAACTAATAAACTAGCTGTCATATGAACTTTAAGGATGCATAATGTTACAACCATTTTGATTTATATAGTTTCTTTAACGGTATTTATTTAATTGTTTCACATTTTTATATTCGTTTTTGAAGTACTTACGTTAGATTATCATATTATTATAGTACATTTTTGCCGGATTTTACCATAGAATATTGAGATAAATGAATCATATTCTAAGGTTCTGTGCGCATAATATTTTGAACTTAAAAACATCGCCTAAAAATCCACTACTTACCTATACATAATAGGCTTCTCATAATTATATTTAACATTATCATCATACTTATATAATTGTACATAATAAATATTTATTTATTTATTAAAATATATTGTCACTGGGAAATGCCCAATTATTACGGAATGAAATAACAGTAACATGCAATACAATACACTTTGAAAACAAGAAACATCATATTATATTACTATAAACTGAAATAAAATAACAACAAATCCAGAACAGAATATAATAAATAATAATATACTTTATACACTTTCCGCGGTTGCTTTTTGTGCTTGTAGTGCGCATAACAATAATAGTAATAATAATAAAATGGCAGCGATGTTTTTGTTCGTTTAGGATTTTGAGACTTGAGTGAGATTACCTAATACCATTTTAAACGACACATTCACATATTATTATTATTAGAGTCGTCGAGGTGGAGGAGGAGCCGGCGTGGTGTTACGTGCGCGCTCTGTATATATATCAATGGCGGCGGACTACCGACCGGCAGACGGTTAGTGACATCCGAACGGTCAACGGACGAGGTTCAACTCCGCGTTCGATGTGTTTACGTCTTAGACGTTTCTGAATAATAATAATAATTCGTCCACCGCGGAATAACAGTACCGCATATTTACACAAACCGCGACCGGCTCAGCATTCTGCGCAACGATCGACATCGATAAACACGTCTTCGCTATAACAGGTATGCGGGTTTGAACTCGGTATAATACGATATTTGCATATTTACTACATATATACAGGTACCCACCCAATAGTATACCGTAACGTGCACAGTAAGTTGACGAACCGATTTTCGCACGTTTGTATTGTTCTGGGTCGAAACTCAAATCGACATACAATAATAATATTACACATTATAGATACGAAAAATATGTATCTATCTACTGATCATAATATAAATGACATTCATGACCAACGACCGTCGAAAGACAAATCTTAACGGCAATTTAGTTTGATACATTTTTATTAAACCGTGTACTTACATTGTTTTCGAAACAATAAAACGCTGTTCAAGGTATGTCGAGCTTTTTTACAACCATAATAATATATTATCAGACGTCAAACTTTTTTTTAACGTCATAACATAAAATGTATTCTTTCGGTTTTATTTTTACAATTTATTATAAAATCTCTGCTGCTGAAAATATTACGAACTAACCAAACCTAACCAACTTTTACTCTTTTTCATTTTGAGCCCCGGCAACAACGGAGGCTCTGCTTAACAATTAATACTCCACTATACCCCAATATAACATAACCTAACCTAACGTGGTTTTTTAACACGTTACATGCGGGACAATCGTCGTTTATTAATTTACAATACACAGCGCACTCTATGCACTGCCCAAGTTATGATTGAACTCTGCTGAAGTTAACGCCACGTAGAACACTGAGCGTTCAAATCTCTCGGAGCCGAACTCGACAACTGCCATTCTGCAAAAGCGTACTTATTATAACCTGCAGTGCATTGCAGACAGGTGACACCAGTTTGAAATATTGAATCTATAGGTACTATGATAATTTTATGATTATATTTGTATGTTATACGAAAAAAACGATTACGATCAACTACTTTACTATTCATCAAGTATTATCACTAACTGTAACAGAAGTTTATAACTAAGTACCTATACAATATAAAAAGAACGGTTTATTAATTGATTTGTATATCAATGGATGTCATTTTGAATTAAAAATAACTGGGATACAAACTAAATTCAAAAAATTACCATTCCAAATACTTACTACTACTTGATTTGAACTTTTTTATCTACATACCAATATGACAGTCTAGTAATTGAAGTGGTAGGTAAAGAGGATAATAACTTGATTTTCCATAGACAAATTTGTTGTTTTTTTTTGATATATTTTTAATATTTTTAGGAAATATTGTTTATTTTTACCTTATTTAAGCGATTTAAGCCCTAAATCAAATTTAGTCTATTGGATTTAATTTGCATGATTGCACATGTATTGGAATTTCGGGTGCATAATATGTTTATATAGTACATAATTCTACGAATATGGATATTTCACCGTTTTTGAATTCATAGCTCCCGTATGACCTTTATTTGATGTAATTGCAGAGGTGACAGCGACAACAGCGCAAGAGTTGCAATGGAGTCGAGATATAGCCGGACGATGTGTTCGCTGGCTGTACTGATGTTCGTAGTGGAAACGGCCACGTGCCAGCAGACAATGTCATTCCCAGAAGGCGAAGGCAGCAGCGGCGCCGGAGTCGCGGACAATGGGACGACGTCGGGTGCCGGCCCCGGGAACAGGAGCGGCAAGAACCTGTTCAACTGGTTGGGCAGTTTCTCGGACGAAGGAGCTGACCCGTACCTGTCGTCGGCGAACGGCGCTTGTCTGCAGGGTGACATGGCCGAGTGTTTCAAGGCTCGCGCCCTGTCCGGTCTGGGTGACTTCTTCGTTCGGGACGCGTACCGGCTCAACGAAAACGTGAGAGTGGTACGATTGCGGGACGAAGACGACGACGGTGGCCGCCACGCTTCCAGGGGATTCGAGTTCTCATCGGAACAGCGGCCCGAGGATACGGAATGGGACAAGCTGGTGAAGTTCGCCACTCGCAAGGCCGAGCGGTTCTTGCGATCAGCCGCCGTAGAGGTGCACGTGCCCGATGAGCTGACGGAGGGTGGTCGGTACTCACCCAGGTTCATCGACGAGATATCCTCCGAGCTGGACACGCTTGAGGACAAGAAGGCCAGCGTCATCAGTGAGTACTTAAATATAAATATTTTTTTCAAGTGACATATATATTTTAATGGGGTCGTTAAAGGGGCGGTGTTCGTACAGATTACTTTACAGTTTGTAAATCGTAAAAAAATAAATAATTAATAACCGTTCTCGTTTTTGATTTTGGTATATACATTGAAAGCGATTCAAATCCGACTCGTATAAAAATGACGTGACCAACATCTATCTACAAGACTAAACTCGTTATCGTTAGCGAACTGTTCGTGTCCTGAGCAGTGATCGACTTAACACGCGGGCTATGAGTGCAAAATCAGAAGTGATATCTAGCCGTGTCGGAATAAATTTAACATGAAGTTGAACTGTGGCACGATAAACTGTTATAATAGTATAATATCTTAGCTAAATTTCTGGACCGGAACAAACGTGCTTAAACGACGTCTTAAGCTCATTATAACATGATAACAATATATGTAATATAATGATACAAAACCGTACAATAAATGTTGCAATGTTCGGCACGCGAGCTTCACGTGCTCTCGTGTACCATTTAAACGGTACGAGTGTAGAATATATGAGTTAAAATCAATCGGGAACGTCACTAAAAGTGTTGAAAGTATTGAAAGTGTTGTACCGCTGTACTCGTTAGCAGGGAGTCGTAATAATACAATATACTTAAATATAATCCAACATTTGAGAGGGGGTTGTACATTTTTAAACAAATTCGGAAAGGATCGGAATGGTAGATATATAGTTACATGGTCATGTTTATCACCCAAACACGGAATTATGAATATTTTTAGTGACGTATTTTCAGCGAATATTTTACAAATGTATATATTATGAAACTTTATTTATTATATAATATCTGCTTTGCCGGGAAAAAAATCACCAAACATAAAATCGATTTTAGTGTAGGTTCAAGGGAAAAAAGCATCAGTTTACCTCAATCCATTGGATTAATTCGACTGTCGGTGGTAGATTAGATAACTCTCACCTGATATAACTGTTAACGCGTGACTTCTAACGTGTATAACTTAACTTAACGTGTACGAATCACATAGGTAATATATATTGTTATATTTTTTAATTTTTAATGGTCACCGGACACCGGATTAGGGCAAGTATACCGAAAACATTTAATTTCAATCGGCGGCATCGGGCGTTGAGATTACCAATAGTTTTGAATATCTTTCGATTATGATATTTACAATATTATATAGAAATTCTTAAAGTTTGAACATATTATCGGTTGTCAGCGTTTCGTCAAACGACGGATGTTGGTAATTTTCAATCGATTTCTAAAATTATAGTTATTATTTTAATATCACATATTATGCTTTTAGTATGTCACACTGTTCAATAAGTTTTTTTGATTTTTCACACACATTCGGTTTGTAGTAAGTTACCGTTCGGTCGATATAATCGTCGACCGATAGACTGTCCTGCACGTGTACACAATAATCAACGCACAATCGGGCACGTATTATGTATTCGGAAGCTATACTGTGTATTCGGTGCACTTTCTCCCCGAACAATCCATTGCCTACGAACAATATTTCGTCTTAATTTTTCCGTTGCGTAGTTGTCTAACTAAACTATAATATGAGACATTAATACGTGTTTACCCATTATAGCGTATATGTACAGAGTGATTATTTTATCGTTATCTAGGCTTTTCTTTCTAATACTCTTTGTTATTTTTAATATAAAAACATATTTTATTCCCAATACATATTTCTTGAGATATCGCCTAGTTATCGTTAAAAAAGTCCCTTTGTATATTGTACAGTGCCTATATTAAATCGCATCCATCTTCATTCTTCAGAGCGTATAATATCATTTCCGATTTCACATAATTGTTGTTATTCGGTCTCCGCGGAACTGGTTATAATAATAAGGAAACGAAAAAACAAATCGTTCATGTACGCTTGTGCAGTACACAGTTGTTATCATGTGGGTATAAGAGGTCACTCTTCACTTTCGAACGTTCCGACAATCGGGCCACTTTACGATGATAGTATAACATTATTATTATGAACTAATTTATTGAACTCGTTGAAAATAATTCGCCGAAAATCATACGTTTTATGTTTTTTTTAAGTCTCTCCTATTTAATAATAATCATACTAATATTGTCATAATGTTGTATCACTCTTCGCTCTCGAACGTTCCGACAATCGCTGACCACGTTACGATAGTATAATACTATAAAAGTAATATTATAATTATGAACTAATTTGTGGAAGTCGTTGAAAAATACTTGGACATAATTTATCATTTTTATTTTCCGTAGTCGATTCGCGTATTAAAGACGCTTGTCCAACAATCATTACCTATTCAATACTATTATATCTCATATTATTGTAAATTTGAATATATTATTATGTATAATATTATTATAAAGCATTATGTATATTATATTGCTATAATAAATAATCTCATGGACACTACCGCCGATCATTATGCTGTCGGCGTAACAGGAAATTAGCATCGCCAATATAGTTCGTCGGCATTCGTACTGCATTCGGCCGCGGTACACTTTCTAAATTTATCTTTGCACTCGGTGAAATGTATACTCGTACTTACACACTCGCGCACATATTATTACAAAAGCGGACCCAGACATGTGGGTGAGCGAGATTATTCGAGGATCGCATTATATATTATTATGTATACGATTGTGGGTCGCGGGCGACGGGACCTGCGATATGTGTATAACGTGTGCGGACTTCCGCCTCTCGCGGTCGTTAAATGTTATAATATTGTGTTGATCGCGTCACGATTCCGGGTCGGTGTTCGAAGCGCACAAAATACGTTTTATAATAACATACAACAAAAACACGGGGCACTTCCTCGTTTTTTTTTGTGACACTCATAATGGCGTAACGACTATATTATAATATGTACAAAGAACAAAATATGACGCCCACAATCGGAATAATATTACGACGACAACGACGACAGACTCGACGAAAACGAAAGCATGCACAAAAGGTTCGACTTTGCAGCGGTGAACCGGTGCTAATATAGGTAATCGCAGCGAGAAACTCGCTCAGGCCTATTTATTTATTTTTCCGAAACCAAAAGTGACATTACGACGTTAAGCATGCTTATTAGTAAGTATGTATTATACCTTTACAATACTGTTATGCAGATATTATTTATTGTCTCGACTGTGCGGTCGTACGACTGGCTTGTCTACCGCTATTATGCTATTCAAATGTTACCAGTTACGTCGTGACTGCTCCAACTGCAATGTATAAAGTAAAAATATTATTATTATTATTATTTTTACCTATTGAGACGTACATAATGGATTACGAGTACTTCTCGTTGAACTCAACGTATGTTATATTATGTTGAATAGTGATAATGTGAATGTACACTGTGGAATAAAAAGTGTTCCACTCATAAATAATCGAATATAATATCGATTGCGTATAATATTTATCTCATATTATTTTTTAATTACGAGGAGTCTATGTTTTTATTTCATCAATATTCCGAAATATCTTTTAAATTATTATTTTTTTTTTAACTGAAAATCTTGAATTTTTAATAATGTTGTATGTAAAGTACAAAGTTAGATCAACAAAGCTTCTTCGTTTTATTTCGAATCTGTACAGATTTTTTTTAACGTTTTGATCTAGGAAAATATTATTATGATAACACGGCGTTTTGGGTAGGCTATTCAGCTACACCACTGGCATGGATTACATTTTCGATTTTTCAATATCTCTTCTTTGAGTCAAATTATTATCTTAATAATATAACAATATAGAAATATTTACTGCTTACTATAGTTTATAATATTATATGATTATATTGATATATATTCATATTATGAGGATAATTTATTTTTTTTGAAAATTATGTTTCAAGCTCAACGTCTGATTGCATTAAAAGACAGACAAATAAAAAAAATACAACTTCAATGGATTCTCTCAGTATTATATTATTATAATCATAACTATTTTTGTGTTTCAGCCAAGAAGAAGGTGAAGAAGCTGCTGATTCCCCTGCTGATCGTGCTCAAGCTGTTCAAGCTGAAGCTTTTGCTTTTCCTGCCGCTCATCCTGGGTCTGGCGTCGTTCAAGAAGGTGCTCGGCTTCCTGGCACTGGTCGTTCCCGGTCTCATCGGGTTCTTCAAATTGTGCAAACCTGATCTCCAGCACAACTACGGTACGTTCGGGCACAGCAGCTACTACAACAGGCCGTCCAACGGTGGTGGACATCTGCCCCAGTCCGCGCCCGTGTACTCGCCGTACCGCGAACACCAGGAACCGCAGTACCACCGCGAACACTTGGAACAACCGCAGTACCACCGCGAGCACCCGGTAGACCCGCAACAGTATCTGTACGAGTCGGCCGACTCGCAGCCGTACAACAGCCGGCCAGCTCGGAACCAGCAGGACGCCAAGGTACCATCTTCCGGTTCGGTCGCGTTCAAGGATGAGGCCAACGACATGGCGTACAACGGTTACAACAGGCAACAGTGATGATAAAATCATAAATAACATTTTGTGTCCAAAGATACCGCAGCGGACACCTAACCGGATTATCGCTGGATATCCATATGTACATAGATCACTCGATCCCCGCAAACACCGTCATTGTCACACCCTTTATCTATGTCCCGCCGACTTGTCTCTCTGTGCTCACATGTCGAACACACAAAACATAGTCTACGACAATCCTCTGCTGCGTAACAATATATTAATTATCGTACGACGTCTCAACATCGTGATTTTTACATTTTCTACTAGCCATTTCGAGTAGTCGGGATATTTTGTACTTCTCACTATCATATATTTTGTATCCTCTACGGGGCAAGTCTCGCCGACAATTCGATTTGAGTCGAGCTGTTTTTTAAAAAGTCGTGAGCGATTTCAATACGCATTACCTATAAGCGTAGTTCCTCATAATCTCTACGACACATATTTCATTGAGTGCTGTGACAGTATATCATATTCATTATAATTAAGGCCTTTATATTGTTATTATGACCTTAATATTATTATTATAAACCTCGAACTTTTTTTATAAAAGATATTTTATATAATTTAATTCGATTTGTATTTTATTGTAAATATTTATATATATATTTTTAAACTGTAATTATGTGAACATATTATATTTTTACTACCACAAAACCCACTAATTTAAGTATAATAATAGTAAATAAATATTATATGCGATTAAAGTGTCATTGTGTAAACATAATATTATTATGATATTATAAAGTATAAACGATGTAAGCGTGCTACATGTTGTATGTATAGTCTTATCGATGAAGTTAAATTTATAACGGCGCTATCGAACAGCAAAATATGTCGATACTAATTACTAAATTAAATTTATTACTTATAGTAAATGCACTGGCGGATGCCTTAATTTATAAAATCGATCATAACAAAAATTGTTTCAAATTAATTTCTTTATTTGTTACGATTGAGTTGAATGTTGGCTGATTGCTGATTTGATCTGTTTATGTAACTCGCCCAATATAAACATTAATATTGAAAATTAGTAAAAATATAGGTAGCAAACAGTTGGAAAATAATTACCTACAGTAAAATTGGTTTTAAAAATGGCAAAAATGTGCATCAAAATATTATACATTCTATGAAAATATTAAAATCCAAGATTTGATCTGTTTCGAACATTTCTTAATACTATTACAAACAATTAAATTTAAAATACCGATTAAAATTAATTCTATGGTTATTTATATCATTTAGTTTGTCAAAAAACATAATATTATAAATAAATTCTAAACAAATCTTTGACTACAATTTTTACATTTGTATACAACTGAAGTCTAATACATCATCTTTTTTGAAACTTTTTTTCTACAAAATTCTGGTTACTCATACCAGCCATACCAAATAAGTGATTTTACTTTGTTTCGATCGAAAAATGTAAATTTTTAATATTTTATCAAATAATTATTTATAGCTATAAAAGATTATACCATCGAAAATCGATTAATGGTGATCGAACCTTTCAGTGGGTACCCATTATTTAGTTATATTTTATTATTATATGACCAGATTTGTTTTATCAAAATTCGAACGTAGAATAAACCACAAGTTATTATTATTTATTGCATATCTTCATGGGTGTCACCCATTTTTCGTCATGATTCGCAGGACAGGTACCGCTGTACACGTCTTTGAGTGGAGCTGGTCACCAATCTTCTACAACGGTTAATTTTGCACTTTACCCGTCTCCCTCACGACAGAAGATGTTCACCGATTATCGTATCGCAGTGGCTGAGACAATTAAATATTATAAATTATACATTTAGGATTTATCTTGCTAATGGAATACATTTATTTAATAGAATAAAATTGGCGGGTGTAACGATTTGACTAGTATAATAATATATTAGTGAATATTATTCATATTGCACACCATATAACTATTTAAATATAAATTTTAAAATATTTTCTGTTTCATAAACGTGAAGGCACTATCAGATGATATGGACGGTGTTTGATTTAGTTGGGGTCAAAGTTTGCCAACGATTACTCTGGGACATGTACATGAAACTTCCATCAACATAATATTATAATCATTCTACATGAATTTCAATTAAAGTACGAGACTGAAATTGCCGTAGGTAGTCACAATATTATTCAAATAATTTCCATTATTTGTATTTTCAATGTAACAGTGATCAGTATTCAAAATGCGACAGTCGGTGTGTAATATAATACAATTTAATATAATATGTTGTAATCGAAATAATTTAATGTGCCTAACAGTATAAGACGTTGTGTACTTTTTGTCACCTTAGGGTCAAACAAACAAAAATAATGTTCTGGAAATCTATTAAACGAAATCCAAAAGGAAAATCTAAATCGAGTTTGGTCATAGTCGCCGGTGCATCATTATAGTCTTAGATTGATTTGGACTTTTAACGCCATTAGTGTAAAATAAAGATTCACAGAATTCATAAGTTTCTGGAGTTACAGTTTTCACAGTTTTATAGCTCTACGTACCAACCCTAACAGGCCTGTGTGTTGTATTCATAATGTTATATTAGGTAGTATCATATATTTAATAACATTATAATTGCACGTATGCACATAAATTATTATGATAACAAATATTTTTATGTTATATTGTTCACGTAATATTTTTATTTATTTTTTTTATTAGGTTAAAAGGCTTCAACATCTCAGATTATTAGTCTATGATAAATTATAAAGTATTGATCTTATGGGGAGAAATTATGTTAAACATAAAAAGAGGAGTGTATAGTATATTATGTACAATATTTTTTTTTTTATATTACATTAATTTTGCTAAGCCTATGTTTGTGAAAAAATTGTATATATTTTTGGAGTTCTCTTCTCCAAGTGCTTGTTTCATCGATGATGGATTTCCGAGATTTTGCCTGGAGATGTTGAACTTGGGGCATCCTAGTGTGATGTGTTTGATCGTCAGTTCTTTGTCACAGAGTTTACAGGTCGGGCAGTCTTCTTTAGTAATAAAGTGCAAGTGTGTTCGACGGGTGTGTCCAATCCGGGACCTTGTGAATTATGATAACTACTTCTTCGCGCCTTCATGTAATATTATACTTTGTAAATCGTGTTGGTTAAAACTGTTAGCATATCACTTATCATCAGTAGTTTGTAGATAGGTATTATTGTAGGTACCACTTAATTATTATAATCAATTAATACGTATATTCAAACCTCAGATTTTAAAATGATCACGTTTTCTTCTTCAATACCGTAATAATCGTAATAATAGAGTTACACTTTCTGTGTTTCCATAATAAATTACTATCCTGTATGATCCAAACTTTTATTTCTACAAAATAATAAAAACATGCAATATCGACACAATGAATTACGGCCCTACCCCCGCAAATTAACATTGATACTTACCTGTTTTATTTTAATGCATGTAATAATATATTTTGTGTTTCAATACGAAATATCATTAGTATTGTATCTTTTAAACTATCATATTTAATTTACATTTAAGATTTAATTAATTTTTCTTTCTTCGAAGTACCAACTGAATTAAATTTACTACCAAAGCCCACCCTTAATATTTAAAATTCAAGCTTTTATTCAAAAGTCATTTCACTCAAAATCTAATATGTTAAAAGAACATAATTTTGTGCTCGAGATTTATCGGGAATAAGAGTTTACGCGTGTTTACAATACACAACGTAGAAAAAATCCCTGTGTTCGAAGAGTAGGTTTGCTTAGAATTTAGAAATAAAGGTAAACATTTTAAAAAAATTTCCTTCTTCGTGTATATCGTAATAACTCAATGTAAAATGTCAGGTTAAGGTGGTTTAAAAAACTGCTGTATAAAAATATTTACAAATTACGAGTATACGATGGTGTTTATTACTGAACGAATCACATCATTTTCATAGCAATAAAATAATATAATATTGTAACACCAAACGCTGAAACGAAATTAAATTAAATTGGATAAATATAATAAATAAATAAATAAATAATTAAATACATATTAATAATAATAGCATTGAGGTGGACTGAATGAAGTGGACGAGTAAATAACAACATCGAAATGCCGAGTGTCATCAGGCGTTGTTGGTGGGTATGTAAGCTATCGGCGCCAGCGGGTACGACAGACGGCCGACGCTAGCCTCGTCGTCCGCGTCATCGTCACCGGCCTGTTGACCCGGCCCGGAAGCGTCACCCGACTGGGCGTTGGCCGGAGCGGCCGGCGCCGCGTGCACGACGCTGACGCGCTGAGGTTGCAGCGGGCCGCGTCCGACCGGGTGATGCGTTCCGCCGTTCTCGTCCATGGTGAGGTGCCGAGCGTAACTGTACGGCGCAGACGAGTACGACGCTCCGTGCACCAGGTGTTCGTGGTCGTAGATGGCCGGCTTGGTGATGATCTCGTAGTGCGACGTCTTTCCGTAGCCGCCTCCTCCGCCGCCTCCACCGCCGCCTCCGTGGCCTTTGAGGGCGCACACGGCCGCGAGGACGAGCGCCAACATGGCAGTCATCAACGCCTTGCCCGACATTGCGGCCAGCGACGCGAATGCGATTGCCGCCAGTGTACCGGCCGACCACAGGGCAGCTTTCATACCGTCCTTCTTGCCCCGCCCTGCGTGTGGACAAACAAACAAATATAAACGGTTACCGAAACGGTTGTGACCCAACAACGGTATGGTACCCCATACGCGATTGTTGTCTAGTTGGTGTAGTTCAGAACTACCGAAACTCATGGTAGATGTCACTGTAGGTATACGTGTGGTGGTTAGCCCCGGTTGTATAAAAGTCTAGGAATGTAATTTCATTTATACAACTTTTGGAATGCGATCATTTAAATTATACAACAGAAGATTTTCAATTTTTTTTTTTTTAAATGTCTTCGAATAAAACAGTTACTAACTGCGCTCTACAACTGGCTACCTCAAAATGTAAATAATACAAACGATAAGCATTTTTAAACTTGTTCTTAAACTTTTAAATTTTTAGTTTAAAAATTAAGCAACATATTATTTTTATTATTTTTATACATTTCTATTTCCTAGGAGAAACATTTTCAATTGTCTGTTTAGTGTCGTTGTAAACGATTGACTCTGTAATAACAAATTATTAATGTGTGAATACAATATGTATGTTATATTTTTAGGTGTCTTAAAGCATTATTATAATTGTTGTTTTCACCAATTTACACTCTTTTATGGATCAAAATCCTGAATAATTATCGTGTAAATACATATTCAGAAAATAATGTTTCAAAAGATGTAACGAATGTCTTAATATTGATAATAATATGTCATATAAATAATATACTAACGGGGATTAATGCATAAATATACATAACCTCATAAGTATAATATTGCAATATAGAATCTACTAGCCATAAACGGTCTAATTCCAAGCGTGAAAAGCTAAACAATTTAATAATATTTTTAATTTCAGATGGTTAAGTTAGCTGCCGTTTTAATTTGTGTCGATTCAGTAAAATGTTAAGAAACACGTATGGGTGTATGGCGTGCCGTCCTGAAAATGTCTAATGCACGAAAGTTGTCAAGATACTTCAATTTCTCTGTTTATTCAAACTGTATTCAGAAAATATCGAGAACTCGCACGAGGTGTTTGATTTTATGAAAACAGATAGTAGTAAAAAATGTTAAGCAGGGGCGACTATTTTTAAATTTAATGTATGTCTGATATGTTGTTTCATATACAGATACAAAAAGTGTTGCGTTAACGAGTTTTTCATAAACATGCTCCAAGCACGTTGAACACGACAAGAATTTTATAACAACGGTGAGAAAAACAATGATTTCATAAGATTCATTTTTCATAAAAAAAAAATTCGTTAATCGGGTTATGGTTACTCGTACTTACCTGGGAACATGCATAGTAATAATATAAGAATAATCAATTTTATGTCTACATAATTTAAATCTACCTTGATCCAATCTATCCAATAATAATTGTTCTTATACGTATATGCACGAAAAGGTCATTATTTTTAACAGTTTTGGGCTACGTGACAAACCGATGCCATTATACTATTTCAATATAAACAAAAAAATAATGTATCCGACACGGACGAGTTCACGTCGAAAAACGCGGATAACTTAGATAATATTATTATTAATCGATTCGTGTACACTGTTTGGTCGACTACATTAATTGATCTAGCAAGTGAGGATGATGAAAGGTAAGGAAAAAATATTGCAAAAACTAATATCTGTCGTCCAACCAGATTAAAAATACTATCATATTATTATTATACTGTAGATCGTATTCATTTTATTTTGAATTCGAGTAGCTTAATCAATTTGCGGTTTGGAATGACCACGCCCGCTAGTCCTCGCGGAAAATGTTCCTTCTAATTCTTCAAGTCCAACCGCAAACCACAAGGGTCAATAATTTATAATGACGTGAAATGAAAAAAAGTCTATCGATCATCAGAAGTACCTAATTAATAGAATCCGGATAAAATAAAAATGCATAAAGGAGATTGCAACGAATGGGGAGGTTTTAAAATAAAGTTCCAAACAAGTAACTTTGAAATTGCGCACACTCGAGTCTTGTAAATGTGTGCATAATAAGTGATCATTAGAGTGTGTGACTGCAGTGCAAGATTAAGTTATAGCGGAAGTGTTTGCGTGTGAATCTATACTAATTTCTATGTACTTTTTGTCAATCCTACCGATGTACCTGATAACTCGATAAGACTTCTGCAAACCGATTCGTCTACTAGAGATCGATCAGGCTACATTTTAAGATATTTAATTTAGATTTCGAGTGACAAACATTTATAGGAGCTGAGATACAACATTTTAAGAAAGACACCGATCTAAAGCAAACAAATTATGAACAAATTACAATTAGTTTTCATATATTATGTTTTCGCGCTATCGAGTCCACCGATATGATTTAAAAAAGATTGGTATATTTTGATTGAGATAACTGACCGTTTGAAATCCCCTTAACTGTTATTTTTTCTTGCACGTGGAAATCTGATTAGTATCGTAACACGGCATACTATATATGAAAGTTTAAGCCTTAATCGACTAGAAAAAGTAAGAAGAAAAAGTAAGAATATGCCTAAGTAACATAATTATTCATTTCTATTTCATTTGGCTAACCTTCAACCCCTCTAACACCAGTTATCGTGTACCAACTGAATGTTTCACCCTCATGACTACAATATTATTGTACAAAAGACGTAATGCGTGACGATTATCATTACCAGTTTCTAGCAATCCGGTGGGCAGTATGTTGACGAGCATTTGGCTGCTGAGATTGCGCACCTTCTCCACCACCGCCGAGTCGACAAGCTTGACGCTGATGGACAGGCTGTTCAGGTACGCGTCGACCTTTTCCATCAGATACCCGTCCAGCTCATCGGCCGAATCGTTGCCCCGGACCAGCGACCTGACAACGTCAGGAGGAATGCCGCCGTGATGGTGATGCTGTTGATGGTGCTGGTTCTGCTGATTCTGCTGATGATGGTGACCGCCACCACCGCCGCCACCGCCGCCGGAGGTCGTCGACTGATTCCCGTCCGAGGCCCGGACAAGCGACACGCCGGGAACCAGCTGATAGGCGCGGGCCGTGCCCAGCCGGTCGATCAGCCGTACCAGGTCCAGTTTCAGGCACGTCATCGTGTACCGGTGCAGACATTTCTTCATCAACACCTGTTGCGCAATATATACGCGGGCGCGCGCACACACAAACGACGGTATGTAATAACAAATGGCACGTCGACGAGATCGCCGCGCGAATATAATAACAATAGGTATAATATTATATAATTTTATATTCCAAAATTTCAGTACAACATTTTTACAAACGATCGTCTCAACACCGAACACTGGAGTATTATATTTTAGGCGTTTTATTTTTAAAAGACTCACGTATTTGAATGTGTTAGTAATAATAAAAAATATCGAATACACCATTCGGGGGATTCCACACTAGGTACCTTTTTTTCGGAGAAAAATAACCCCAATCGCGTTCTGACATTTACTGACTTGTGTATTACCTACTCAGCTAATAATTTTGAAAACATATTTAAATATATTATGAAGTCTATTTTGATTCCTTCAACAGCGAACGGGATAAGCATTTGTTTTGAACGAGTATTAAAATCAACTTAGGATCCCTTCAAGCCATAGTTTCAATCAATTAATGAATAAATTTCACTCAAAACTTAGAAAAAATCTCGTATTTTTATAAATTTCAAAGGAAAAAAAATACAGGTTCAACATTTTATAAATATTGACCTTAGGGTTAAATTTAGTAATAAATTCAAGTATTTCTTCATATTTAATATTGGAATAAAAATCAATTGAGTACAACCTTGATGCATATAGGTCTATTTTGCTAAAAAAAAAAGGTAGTGCCGAAGGAAGTTAAAAAAAAAAAAATATGGATGTAAAAAACAAAAATTATCGTCAATATTCGTTGAATCCATAATAGTGTTTACTGCTTTAATAATCGGTGTATATTATAATATAAACTTTATATATATAATAAAATATAGTTCACTCTGATCATTTGAATTCATAAACGGTTATTGTCGTGGTTATGGGCATTTGTGACGAAACCGTAAGCGATATATATTTTCATAATAATTATTGTTCCCGAATGTGAGTATATTTTTGGAATTTTTACTGAGTCCTATAGGTGTGTTATCGTTGACACGACCGTTTATCTTAGAGATAGGGTAGGGGTGTATTTATATAATTTATATGTGGACTGATCCATTTAACGTAAGATACTCATTATTTTAGAAACATATTTTTAATTTATTCTTAAGCAGAATATTTTAAGAACAACTTAAAGTTATTGAAATAAGTTTTTTTGAAAACGTTAGTAGTTTCTAAAATAACGAGTGTCTTACGTAAAATGGATCATCCACGAAGTATATATTCAAATATTGTTCATGAACCAAATCACGTGGTAGAGAATTGCATTATAATGGTGAAAAAACTTGTGTGATGGAAGATTTTAAAAACATGTCGCTGAACACAAGCACAGTGGTGTGACAGAGGACAGAAAAAAAATTAAAAATACATAATTATCCTTGGGTCCTAAATTTGACTTCAAGAGGGATAACAATATATCATTATCTATATTAAAAATCAACATCTAATAAATTATTCTTAAGTTACATAAAATAGGCAGAACTAGAATAACATTTTAGGAGGAGGTAATATATTTAATGTAAAATAAATGTAATGATACCATTTTAGAATCCATTTGAAACGATATCACACCACTGCCCTAAACGCTTAACGTACATTTCAATATGAATACATTTAATTTGACGAAAACTGGATGGAAATAACAATAATTATAAAAAAACACTAGATCAAACTTAGAACGATTCGAGCAAATTTTTTGCTGGAAAATCGATGATTTTGTCGTTTTAAATTAAACTTGTGATTGATTAAGTCCTTCAAACTCGAGTATAGCGGCTTGAATTCGAAAACGTAAAGTGATGTTTCTATCGTGTGCTAGTCGAGGGAGGTGGTGGTGGAGGTGGAGCTGGAGGTGACGGTTGTAATACTCGATAAACCCGGGCGGGGTGGAAAGTGAAAAAGAAAAAAAAAACGAATTTTGTAATTACCTGCTTGAGGAGTTCCGTGTTGGCTGAGTCGTCGTACTTGGCCTGGTGTTGAGCGGTGGTGGTAGTGGTCGTCGGCGGTTGCAACGACGACAGTAATTGCGGTCCTCCGCTTCCGACGACGTCGGGCACCGCCGTGGTATCGGTCTGCGCGTGCGCCGCCGGGGGGGCGTTCAGCAGGCAAGTCGCGCACAGGGCCACCGCGATCGCCGCCGAGGCACCGCGCTTTCGCCGGTCGCACGCGTACGTCTGCATGACGATATAGTGACGACGACTGCGGCTATGGCGGTCGAGACGGAACACGATTGCTTGAAAACGCGATTGAAAGCACCCGTGCAGCGCGGTGAGCTTGCAGCGACCGCGGTATAATATGGACGAGGATCAGGACAGCGACCGAGGATCTGACGAGGACACTTGCAGAACCGACCTGTGCTATCGGTACAGAATGATCACACGAACTGGAGCTGTCCGATGGCGCGTGGGTAGTTTTTATAGAGCCGTGTAACGAAACGATTACCGGTGGAAGTGTGCGGCGCGCGCTCGCGTGTGTGCGTGTGGATCGAGAGACGGCGAGGATGGAATGAAAAAAAAAAACACGTTGGAAATCGTTTTGCGTAGGTAAAAGTAAACGGGCGGTGATTCGGCACAAACCGAGACACAATGTGTGTCAAGAGGGTAGGTATAGACGGCGGCGAGATTTCGGCGGAAAATTAATTATCGCACGGACGGCGGCGCGCGGCGATGATTTCAATGGGCTCGCGAGCGCTCGATTTTTTTCTCCATATAATACCTGCCTATCGTTCGCGTCGGAAAATTTTTGTTTTTTTCTCCGCTTTTGTTTTTACCCATTAAACTACTCGTGCCGGACGCCGGTCAGTCCACCGCGCGAGAGTACGATTTACACGGCATGTACGTTACGGGCACTATATCTATATTATTATTATTATTATTATTATCATTAAAACGCACTAGCCGGACCCGACCACCGGCCTGATTATTGATTCCATACGCGATTCGTACGATATCATCGCAGCACGCATATATTCGGTCGTGTGAAAACGATGCCGAACGCTTGTTTGCGAGGGGGTTTGAAATCGGCCCGTTTTCACTGTTTTTAATTCCCCGTAAATTCGCGTTCGCGCGTGTGTAAACACACACAACGAGGATAATATCACTATATATATACGACAACAATACAACATTATATTATATTATTATTATAATGGCAATTACCTAGGCTCTGCCTATACATATTATTATTGTTATACGCTGGCTATAAGACCGTAACCGGCCGATTTTCGAAATCTTCCATCCAATATATTGTAATCGGGAATCCGCCCGATTTGTAGACCTCGGCCGCCGCCGCCAGTTGCCAAAACGGTCCCGCAGAGGCATCATCGCGGTCGTCGTAGTCTTCGTAGTCGTCGCAGTCTCATCAGCTCACCGACTCGTCATCTCCATCGTCTCCGTCGGAAAAAATGACTTATTGGTGTCGTCTGCAAAAGGCGCCGAGATAACGATATTACCATAGGACGCTTGCCCGCTGCAGCGGTATACCGATCGGCGTACGACCGACGAACAGAAATCCGCCGACGGGGGAGGGAAGGAGAAGAAAAAAAACCAAGCTATTTTATGTGGAAACGTTTACATCCGACGCTATTGTTTGACGGTTCACTTGTCGCGACTATGTTTTTTCGCCGATTCATTCGAACACAGCAATAAAATTATACATATACACCGCGGAGGCGGATCACACACCCCGACGACGACGGCGCCGCTCGTTAGCGGTATAATATTCCAGCGCCGTCAGTCATTAACCTTCGGTGCACTTCAGTCGTCGTAGCTGTGTCCTCGGCGATCACCGTAATACTTGCAATAATTATTATTACATTGGTATTACAAAAGCGCAAGGCATAATATTATCAAGTTACGACTCACACCGGGGCCGAAGACATGCACCCCCCATGGTTGCCACCGTTAGTCCTGCACCTGATCGCCGGAGCAACTGTCCTGCTGGCCGCCGACAACGTCACGACGTCCTCGCCGGTACAGGTGCGGTATAATACCATTGATAATACTTGATGTAGTTGTATTAGATATTATATTATGTCGTTAACGTGTGTGTCACGATTAATCTTATCGCAATCGCAGAGTACCTACACGCTGTAGTTTTACCAAATTCACTGACAGATGGCTTAAAGAGGTCGAGAGGACTTATGTTTTTTAAAAATATGTACGTATGTTTTTAAACTTCCACCGGGTGTTCGAATTTCGCTCGTCTGTCGATTTTGGTTTTCAATATATATCGCATGCCGGGTAAAACAAAAGAGTAATAATTAACGGTTCCGAGTTAAATTTCAATCAAATTGTTTTATTTAATCTACCTGGACAGATCAGACTTCGCATACGTCGATAAGTTCCATGATATTAAGCTTATTTTTTTCCGCAGTTTAAACAAACATGATTCATTATTGTATAATTTGTATTCATTAATCTGTGGGTAGACCGATACTCTAAATACTATTCAGTTATTTTATTTGAGGAAACTATGATTAGACAGAGTAGGACAACATTTGTATGTTACCTATTTATTTTAAATTGTTGTAAGCATTTTTGCATTGAGTAATAGAGTAAGAGAAAAAATGTACAAAATAAACTTACCTCACGAAATGTCTTGTCCCCTCGACCACCACCTGGTAACTGAGAACTAATGCTTTCTTTCAGTAATATTTTGATAATTTTTTTAAAATTAAAAAAGGCTTCAATAGTATTTTCTGATTATATGTATAATATAATAAGCATAGTAGTTGTGGTAATTTATTAAGTAAATTCAAAAACAATGATAAGTTATAGCACTTGAAGAATGGTACTGAGTTAAGAAAAAGTCATTACAGTAACGTTTGTTGAACTCTGCACAGCTAGAGAACTTGCCAATTCTGTACATTCCCCGGATCAATCTGCCAGTTCCCTACCGGTTCCCCTATAACAGGGTGTCCCAGAAAACCCGTTTTTTGAAAGTCAGAGGAATTTTCTTGTTGAACTGAATAGATACACTTTTACAATTTGAAATCACCATAAGTTTTTATCCTATGCAACATAAGTCCTCAAAATAGAATACTATCCTTATGACTATTCTCAATCCTTATTTTAAGATTTAAGGATTTAACACTCTTAATAACTCTAAACTATCCTTTCGGTGGTAGTATTAATTTTATTTTGGATCTTTTTAATGGACTCTTAGTGCTGGTTTTAGTCTTCGCTGATTTATTTCACCAAATTATAATCCTATTATATATTTATAATTTTTAGATTTAGTTTTAATTGTATATAAACTTTATATTATACCATTTAGTAATAATTATCAATGCTAAATTTAGTTTAACCTTTTGAATTTTCTTAGCATATTTATTTACAGTATTCCCTTACGCGAGAACTACTCAAAAAATCTTGAGAAAATATTTTGAACGTACCATCATATGAATAACATTTTTTATCTATAAAACTGTGCAATAGATTATAGGTCACTAAAATATGACATGTATTGAAAAATATCATTGTTAATTAAAAAACTTATCGTGGTCCTTGATTCAGTTAATAATTATTATATACAAACGACGGGCTTACATATGTATAGAGTATAGTTTCTATTTCACTACATACTATTTTAATCACCAAGTGGTCTAGATTAATCATGCGTTCATACAGGCACATATTTTATTTGATGTATATTACCGACTAAAAGCTAATTATTAAAAAAAAAAAATATTATAACCCAGTTACCCACAACATTATCTGCAGTGACATATAGGTAATAATATGTTTATGTAATACTGTGATTTTGTTCTCCTTATTGTTATTCCCTTGTGTCACTGTGTTGATTTCCTTATCATATATTCTCCATCTTAGATTTACGATTCATTATCATATTCAGAACACTTAACACGTGGATAAACGAATCTATACTGCCTTAAAACCATTGACAATGGCAAGAAACCATTCATCGTGTACCGCACGGTTGGTCGATGAAAAATCTTACAGTTTTTTTTATCATTTTTTTTTTATCATCCTGTATCGTATTTTTATCTGTTCCATTGTTTTGTGTCATTCGAAATTGGGGCAAATACATTGGTTTAACGAATTAATACCATTATAATACCAATATCGCAAATTAATACGCATTGTACCTATTAGTGTTACTGTAATGTAGTGCAACACGTTCGTTAAAAACAATAATCACCTTACACAATGGGTCGGATCAGCAGAGAACAACAGATCAAGATTTACATCGTAAGCTAAGTTTTTTTTTTGTTCGTGTACTTGTATATTATTTGAGCCATTATTTTTCAATTAAATTTTCCAATCACTTTTTCTCGGTAACTCGTCTGGAATGTTTGCGTACACGCATTGTGATTAGTTTACTGAATAAATCTGAGCTGACGAAAGTGACATTACAATGATTACTGCATGCACGTACTTAACATGTTACCTACTTCAATAATTTAGTTCTAGTAAACCACGATGAAAAACGATTCGTTTTGTTCACAATCGAATGTCTATAATTTATATGGTAATGGATTACCAATAGTGGTATCGGTTTGATGTCGTTCGAGTCAATTCTGTGAATTCTTGTTTTGATTTTAACAACAAACTATTTATACTACTTTCACACATACACTCTTCGTGAAACTAATTAAGTAAAAAAAACCATCGGTCACTGAGTAAATGTACCTATACATATCGTCATATCGAGCCAGAAAAATGACTTTAACTTTCCCCACATATCTAAAATATTAAATGATTTTTTTTATTTTAATAAATAAAGTACATTTTTTTAAGTTGATATTTTAAGTAAATAAGTCATTTATTGTAAATGTGTGAATATTATTACACAATTAAAGTAAGATGTAGTACCTAATAGTATATAGTATTGCAATTAAATATTACATACAATACTATGATGTTTAAATTCAAATAACTTAATTACCAGTTCATTATTATGTGAACATGTAATACAATTTATAGTTGATATATTTTTCTAATTGATGCATGATTGATGTTTATACATCTTAAGAGTGTTAGGACTTAAATGAATGTATTGGAATTATACTAATATTTTTTAAGATTTTAATTAGATTAGAAAGAAACAATTCAAATTATAATATAGTATAATATGTAATTCATCTAAGTTTTTAAGTTGAGTCTATTTTTTTAATAACTGCAAACAGTTAACATTGATTTATGTTAGCATAAACATAACTCCCAAATCTTATTAGAAATTAGAAATGGTAATATTGTACATAAGTAGTAGGTATGTTATAACAGATGACATATGTATAATATTATTTTTTATAATTGAATTGGGTTGGTTCAATAATATAGATAATTAAAAAGTATACATCTAATAATAGTTTACGATTATTTATTAAACTATCATAATGTGTATATTAAACTTACTTGTCCACATAGATTTAGATATCACGACTAAAAAGCATTGATGTTTAATATATAAATGTATAAATGTATAGCTATGTACATATTTATATACCATATATAATATACATGTATAATAAATGTAGAAAAAACGGTGTACACGATGTCACGATAAATATGCAAGGATTTATTTATTTATTGTTGAACAGATATTATTTTGTTCTTTAACTTGTAATTTTTTTTTTACGTATTAAATAAAATATGAAACGTGTTATAAAGAATGCCACTGCTCACTGATAATTAAAATAAATAAATAGAATATAAATCATACAATTTAATAAATTAGAACAATTTACTTACTGCACCATAATAAAATAATGGAATAAGTAGAGAAATTATTAAATCATAAAATAACTATTACCACTAAAGTAATATATACTTCTTAATAGGCACTTCTCAGTATTTTTAATTATTATTTTTTTAATCACATAATACCTGTTTGAGTTAAAGGAACGTATCTTATGGTCGTATCTAATTTTATACACTTGAAGCAATACTGATATGTCAAACGATTTGACGTTTATATACATACTTTAACTTAATTAATTATTATTATTCGACTTTATAAAAATAATTATTCAAAAATGTAAGCTGACTATGGTTCCCAAATATCCAATATACTATATTTTATTTATCATTGAAATTAATAATGCTCAAATCGTTCGTTGGAATATAAATTTTAAAAAATATAATTTTTATGGGCATGTAGTTTTTTCACATTCATAGGGACTAAAATAAAAAAGCGTATTTATGGGGTCTTATTGTAGATATTTAAACCTATCTCAGAATTTAATATACCTACCACGTATTTTAATTAATTCAATCAATTATGTGTAGATATATGCAATATGCATACATCATAGTTATTATTGATTAATTTAATGACCGTTTTATTTTATATCTAGGGCTAAGACGAGTGAGAGTGACTATAATCTATAAAACTGTAGTTTTTAATTATCTCATTTGCTATTGACAAGTTAGTCATTATATGAAAATGTTAAATTAATAATTGTATGTTTTTTTAAGAACGATTATAACAAAAAGTAAAATGTATTCAAATCATGTTGGAAAAGTTATGATAGTATTATATATTTAAGTTACAGCAACTTAGTGATACAATTTTCATAGTGCCGCATTATGTTTTCTATTGGTTTAGTTTTTGCAAAATTCTTACACATTTTAAATATTTGTACAATCGGATCGTAGAGAGTGCCAATATATGTTTTAGTGAAAACTATAAATTCAACTAATTTGACGTATGCGTATAATTGAATGTGTGTGATATGATATGCGTATATATTTTCTTTACCTATATTGCACATAATATTTTATGGTTGCGTATATCGTATCGCGTATGTGTATTATATTAGAGTTCCTAAATCACGTGAAATCGTCTACATAAAATCGTATTTTAATTTTATTATAAAAAAAAATGAGTAGCAATAATAATAATAATAATAATAAAATAAATAAACAAACCGAATGGTTTTCCCTTTTCGTACATTGTAGTACATATATATATGTATACTTACTTGTATAACACACGAATACTTTGTTATTATTATTACGATGACCTGCATATTGATGATACGGTTATTAGTGTCGGATCAGACGTGCTCTACATCTGCAGCATAACCTTCTACACATTGCAAACACACACACAACAGGCAATATTCCCACCACTCACTAGCTTAACACGCATACCACACAAGATGCGTGAGTATTATTTGATATTATTATGTGATATATCTATAATGGGTAGAAGAATCCGAATTCGTGTACACCTATGATGGTACGCGTGTCGTGTACCTTCGATATGTGTAAGTAGGTACCTATGTTTTTATAGCTGCGGGTGCTAGGTAACTAGCACTTTTCGCTGTCGTCGACGATCGATGAAAAACTAATTTTCTCCACGTGAAACCGCTCAAGATATATTATGTACGGTTTGAGTTTAAAAAATATGAAATGTAGCATCTACAAATAAATTGAATCATTGTGAGCACAGCTAAAGAGCGAAGCATTATGATGTATTGCATGTACCATATTATTTTTAATAGTTACATATTTTATAGTAATATATTCCAACTAATAATGCCTTACAGGAAATATGTTTAAACAAGTATCTACTAATAATTGATAAATATGTATATAGGGAAATTAGTGCCTGAAAAATCGTATTGTTCTTCATTGTCAAGCTGATTATATTTTCCATGTTATAATGATGATATTATTACTGTGATGTCATCTGAAAAATAAAATTGCATCTGCATCCTAAAAGATATATCCAGTAAATCATACGATGTTTGAATTTCGTGTAAGGTATAATATAATTCTATTAGGTCTATACTATATTACGAACGTAAAGTTCACCCGAGGGCCGAGGGACTAACAGAGATTTAGTAAGGAGACGAACTATGTAACATAATTTTTTTGATTGCTCGACACTCTCGATACTTAACCAACTAGTATAGTATCAAGAGTATTCATTTTATTATTTTATGCATTTAACTAAATGTATTATTATGTATTTTTACCATACAACATTATGATATATTTAAAAATAATTTTGTTTAATCAAGAGTTGATTAAACATACATATATTGTATGAAAAAACATATTTATAAAAAAGAAAGTAGGTAACCTATATAGTGTCAAAGAGAGTAATATTTAATATCGTAATCAAAGATGTTGTCATTTCCCTATAATTACCCCCCGTAATAAAATATCATACGTAATATGATGATAGCATCCCGTGGAATCGAAAATAATTATACTTAACGAGCGGAATGTGTTCGGCTGTTGCAGGAAGGTGGTGCTCAGGTGCGATGCTCGAACAACTACACGATGACTTGCGTCAAGAGGGACGTGCTCCTGTTACTGGACGCTTTGGACGGAGAACGGAGCTACGAGGTATATCCTGGATTTACGTTGTTCCAGAGGCGCAGCCCTTCAGCTGGCCTGCTGCCGAGCAACGAGTCTCTGGACGCGGCCAACTCCAGCCAGCTGGACCACATGATCGCCAAACGGCTCAACGATTACGTGGAGAGCATCGATCTAAGGGTCAGACTCCTCAACCCGATCAACGCGACGGCCCGATCGGTTGGTAACAGCATGCTCGAACGGATTTTGCCGTTTCTCAGAATGAGTATGACCAAACGCATAATGTTATTATTTACCGTCAAGTCTTTGCATTACTTACTGCCCAAACTGTTGAAAAAATTAAGTACACAACTAACGTATGTACAGACGCAGCACACTATTCAGTCATCCCACCCCTACGCGCCCTCGTAGTTTTTTTTTTAGAAAATGTCTTAGTTCCTCATCATAGTCAATTCTTCTACAGCTGTACTATTTCTGATTACATAATATTCATACATAAAACTATGTATGCATTATTAGTGCATAGTATGCATATATATTACTGATAATAAGTTAAGTGGTCACGTTTTAATAAATGTATGTTATATTTTATTGTCTTAATATTATGTGGTTTAAATTATCGATCTCATTCGATGACGTTGTTCCTACAAGTCATGTTATCTCCATCCAACTCCTCGTTAATTTTAGTATTAGAATAATTATAACAATTAATATTGGACCTTTATGCGTTACTCGTGGAATCTCTTTAAAACATTCAAAAATAAATATATATTTTATTTTGAGCGATTTAAAATTGTATTATGCAAATACAAATAAACTATAAACCTTTAGTTTTTGCTTCGTAGTAGTTTGCATCGTGTTGTGGACAAATAGGTCTAGGGACGCCCCTAACACTATAATAATATTATACGTTAATATTATAATAGATACAATATATACTGTACATGTACCTATTCCCAATTGATTACACTCATTTTTCGCACTTATTGTAAATATTACTACACGTCTAATTAATGTTCTCATAATATTTTAAAATTATATTGTATACTGTGAGGTCTGTAGTATTATTATCCCACACACTTAGCGCAAAATACAAATAACTTCCAAGGGGATATTCGATTGCCAATCAAATTTAAACATATAGTATTCAAAGTTATAACCGATTAATATTTAGGTGCACACAAGTACCAATAACATGATTGTCTGCAGTAGTTCTTTATTAGCTATACCTATTGATTTTGTCCGGAATAATTGGTATAAATTAGTAGGTAGTAGACATTATATTGTACGCGCGAGGTGAAAGTCGTCTAAATGGTTCGACCGACGAGTATATATAGGCACGTCAACAATAACGAAATGTAATTATTATTTTGGAAACAAATTAAACGCGGTACACGGCAATTATATTATCCATCAACTGGTTTATTAGGTTCGTCTGTCGTGGAGAAAAAAAAATTAAAATTGAAATCGGCCGGCGTGACGCCACTGCAGGGACACGCATCATCAACGTGTCATACCGTTTCTAGATATTACCTATATATGCCGCACACATAGACCGAACTAAAAACGAAGTGTAAAAAAAATCTTTATACAAATTTTCGAACGTGCGACGCTGAGCCAATGTCAAAACACCGTTCATTCAATCTGAATAGATTTCAAAATTCTCAAGGGAAGTACATACCTACGTAGTTACGTATAATTTACCCGTTTTTTAGATTCTGAGCGGAGTGATGTTTTTTTTTTCATGCATATTTATGAGTATCTTTTTTGTTCATAAAAATCCTAACCCTAATCGTTGGTACAATAATATTATACTAATGGCCATTAACTTAGTCACCAGTACTAAGGTATGCACAGTGATTTTTTAATCATGCTCTTGTATCTATATGCATTTATATAATATACATACTATTATATCTTTTTAATTATCGCATTATAATAATATAATATAATCCCGGGGAATAGATACATATTATGATAAGTCGTTATAATTCTTCACCACGAAAACAAACAAACCGTGCATTTAAATACTCACAAAATAGCTAACACACCTGTACGTCCTATGGCGTCATCGGTATAGAGCGTGTTGAAACTAAATAAGCTCTCCGAAAGCCTATAACTTCTGACTGCAACTGCGGTAGGAGGTTTAAGTGCCGCTGGAGAGTTAGATTAGGGGCCCACGTCTCTTTTTTACACGTCTTGTCCAGTAAATCTTCCAAAAATAATGGCTATTCAATCCGTTCTACCCGAAATTAATGACTTTTAATCAACAGGTAATAAACGGCTGCGGTTCGATCCCGGCTGATGACAACATTTTTGCACTATTTTTTTTTTTAATTTTTGTTATTTATTTATCAATTATAGTTAATTATATTATATTATATTACTGTTACGGGGTTTATCTTCTTGAATTATAAAAAAAAAAATTAAATATGGCTATTATTAAAACGTTAGGTATACAAGGTAATTTGTTAAGCATATTCATCCCCATTTTCGCATTTATTAGTATTAATAGTATATTTATTCAAATTCTGATCTTCACAACTTGTAAGGATACCAATAGATAATATTTTAAAATTCTTAATATTTTGTGTACTACTTAAAAGAGTCCGGTTTGGCGATACAACCTTCAATTTTCAAATGAGGATTCCCCTTTTAGCTGCACATTATTTAATATTTTAGTGGATGATTTTCTTCAAAATGTTGTTGTATCTAAACCAAAATTCCAATGAGTAGTTTCTGAGTTGTTGAAATGTGTACACTAAGGATAATACTCCTTAAAAATGGTTTTACAAAAACATCAAATATATGAATTATTAGATGCAGTAACTGATATTTGTTATAATTGGACCATTTTTAAAAATAATACACGGATATTTGATACATCAATAATTGTAATCATTAACATTTTTAAATATTCTGAGCCTCTATATTTACTTATTCCGTCACACAAAATTAACTACTCGTTTACAAAGTTATATACTCAAAAACTACTCGCTCGAACTTTGATTGAGATACTTCAAAATTTTCAAAAAAATATCTGCTGTGTAATTGAAAATTAAAAAAGTTGTTTACAGTTTATAAAAACAGAATTTTGTACCTACTGTGTGGTAATTTTTTTTTTGATTTTTCAAGTTTCAATAATAGTATATACCTAATGTAGCTTAGTGAAAGCTTACGATCGTCAAGTTTCAATTTAAAAGCCAGTTCTTCATAAAATCCAAGGCTTTTTTTTTACATTTAAAAAGTATTAATATCCTCATCGATACTTTGTAACTAAGCTCTCTAGTTAATCGTCTATGATAGGATCTCACTTTTTTGTTTTTTTGTAGGTATTTTGATAGCCTGTCCCGAAATATTTAAAATCGTTGTCTAGCCGATCTTTCATATTGTTTTTTTTTTTTTCGGAAAACTTGAAGGTAGAAAAAAGAAAGACTACCACGGCCTGTACTGGGTGGCGGGCACGATGGCTGCCGTCGGAGCCAGCGCCCTGATGGCACTCTCCAGCAAGGCTTTGATGACGGCTGGCGCGGCGCTGGCCCTGGCAATCTACAGCTGCATGAAGGGCGGTGGCGGTGGCAAGGGCGGCGGCAGTCACCTAACTGCTACATTGATGGAAGAGAGCACGCTGGTGCCTCATCGACAGTGCGCCGAGGCGGTGGTGGACATCTCTGGCATGCACAACTATCCGGCGGATGTGGAACGGTATCCGGGGTCCCGGAAGACGGTAGATATCGTGTCACCCGCCATGCCTGTCTACAGGATCCATCAGACGTCCGAGGACTACTCGTCGTCATACGGCTCATCTCAGCCACAGTCTCAGGCCCAGTACCCCTAGTGCCTTTGCACTGCTATCGGAAGTGGTGGTAGTGGTTAAATGTATGACATAACTAAGGCCGGGAACTCGATGACCTAAAAATGTTTAAAAAATTCACGAAAAAAAGAAATGTTCAATAAATTAATACACCCACCCGTTCAATATATTATATATTTAATTAAAACACTAAACATCGTTTCATAACACAAATTCTATAAACTAAGAAATTAAACAAAAAAAAAAACAGCATTGCCCTATCTGTTGAAAAAATTATCAAGTCCGAATTAAAATGATTTTAAACGAGAACTATTAAAAAAAATAATTTTGGATACATTATTGAAATTGATACAAAATTTTAAGATTTAAGAGACAATAAAATTTAATAACATTCAAGAAACACCATTCATTATTGTTTGACTTATATTTAGGAAATTTGGAAAATCATGCATGTAATTATACTTTGTAATTATTTTATTGTATTTTTTTGATTTCTATTTATTTTATTTATTCAAATATATAATATATCGACAACATAAATAAAAATAACATATAGTCCTGTGATAGTACCTACAAAAATGAATTCAAAGACCAAATATTATAAAAAATTTACCATAAGTGATAAAATAATTTTAAAAAATTTCCATTTTATTTTGTGTTCCATAAATATAATGTCTGTAGAGATAGCAATGCGCATTAGAGCAAAAGAAAAAAAATTCACCTCCCTAATTCTGTGTATTATAATAGTTGATAATAATGTGCAAAACTATTAGGTTCCATAGTTATGTATGTTTCTTGATCTGTAATATGTATTAATTTCTAAGTTTGTGACGTGTTTATTACAAGATAATTTTATTATACTATGTTAATGTTGTATTGGCTAACTTTTTACTAAAATATGGTGTTTAGTGCAATATTTTAATTATGTTTTATAATAATAGCTTATGATACTAATATATTACGTATACGGTGATTGATAGGATACCAATTAACACGATTAAATAAAACAAAAAAAACTTTATTTTTGAACAATTGTAATTTGTTTCTACAAGTGCTGGAATTAAAATTTTGGACATTATATCAAGTATTATTTTGAATTTTATGGTAACAGCATATTAATATTTATTTTTTAGTTATAATAATTATCTTTTACTATAGGTTTATTATAATTTGTTTAATCATTTGTGTCAGCATACCCACATCTTAATATTTTTACAATTTTATATATTGCAATATTACACACTTGTAGACTGTAGTCTATAGGCCATGGTTTTTCTAGCTATAGTATTTATACATTATTATTTATCGGATATTAAAAGATTGTATTTTTATTATAAGCTGCCTAATTCAGTCATTGTTGTTTTCTTGGGAGATGTGCTGTGGTAAGATATCTTAATTTATGATATTTCCTACTCGCAGCTGATAAAACTGGTAAGTAGCTCATTTGGTGAGTAGACGTTGAAAAATGAACTACTCTGAAGAATAAAAAAGTCATGCCGAGCGTGTACATAGGAATTCAGCCAAAGTTCTGAAACTGTTGTGAGAGTAAATTAAAATTTACATAAATGTACATGTGGAGTATATTTGAACCTTGCAGTACATTAGAAATATTATAGTTATAGATTTAAGTTTTATATTTTCAAACATTTTTAAAAAAATTATTATTAAGTGTCCATAAAATATCTTAAAAATGTTTCATTTGTTTTCCATAAGATAATTTTAACTTTTTGAAAACTTAATTTTAGTGTGAAGGGCTTGAGCTTAATAATAAATTAATACTATATAATATAAAAAATTCTATTGCAAATATATTTAAAAAATTAAAATTAACTACAAAATAAAATCTGTTGAGCACTCAAAAAAAAAAACAATTTAACTATGATCTTATAGATTTTAGAAAATATACTCCAGGATTTTTTTTTTATCAGCGTTAACCCGCTGCAACATTGGCCATTGGATGTGAAGTGGTACTGTAGGGAGTTTTTTTTTTGTATAGGTTTAGTAGGTTTTTATGTTGGTAGGATTGTACACATGTTCTATGTATGTGTTGCTAAAAACAACAAAGATGGTCACCCATCCGGGAGTTGGAAAGACCGGCCGGTACACTCATAGCGTTTCCGCAGATTGAGCGTACGATTGCGCCTCACCAAGCCACATAATATTTACTTCAAGATTATAATGTGTTGTAAATTGTAATGTTAATTTAATATTCAAGTCCCAAAAATCAATGAACTTAAATGAGATTCTACAATTCATAAATGATTATTATATTTTTTATGAATACAACCATGATGATAGTATTATTTATTACTAAGTCCTGAAGAGAACAGCCTCATGAAAATACCTACTTTATTTTTTCGAACAAACTAACATGTTTAATTATATCTAAACACAGCATTGTGTTAACACTTCTGAAGATAAATAATATCATTTTGTTAGCCAATAACCTTAGAAGTTGAAGCTGCGCCACGAATTCAAAAAAAAAAGATAACAATAATATAATATTGGTATGTAATATTAAATTGTTTTCAATATTTTTCAATATTTTTTTTTTAAATTAACATGGGATGAATTTTTGGTACATAATAATTTGATGACAGTCTGCAGGTAAGTCTTAACATGGGTAATAGTTCAAGCATTAAGTATAGTAGAACCGTATGAGTCTCTACAGCGCTTAATCCGTTTAATATATCCCAAATATTAGTGTAATTAGAAAAACAATCGAAATAACTCGTTATTTTGTATTTTGCAGGGCCTAATACTGTGTTGTATTATATCTTGTACCTATAATATTAAACTAAAAAACTTTTTAATTTCTTAAATCTATAATCAACAAGTTTTTTTTTGTTACTGATATCAGTGTTTAAGTACCATTTATTTCGACTACCTAGACCTCCAATTAGCTAAGATTATTTAGGTTCTACTTGATGATAGTGACAATAATTATAAGCAATGTATACTGACAGTTGTATTATAGTGGCTTATAAAATCGAAAAATCAAACGATATCATCGTAATTCTTGGTGTAAATATTATATTGCCTTTAAACTTTTAAGAGAATATAAAGTGTCATTATAGGTACTGTTATTTAATACCGCAAGAAAAAAGTTACACTAAATAGACTCAGAATTGGTTACACTAAGACATCACATGAATACCTGGTGGCAAAGGCAGAGTCTTCATAGTCTGTCCGTCGTATAATGTAAAAATAACAGTCAAAAGTGTCAGGCATATTTTATTCTTTTCAAATTGTACAGAGGCCAGAAACAATTTCCACTTATTAAAAAATGCATTGTATCGAACTATCAGATCATTTTCAGATGTGAATAAATTAAAATGATATAAATAAATAGAATATAATTTTGTTAAAAATACCAGTAAAAATTGTTTTCACATTCATATTGTGTGAATTTTTATTGCCCCTTTAAGTATCTTGTGATGCAGCAACTAATACATGAATGATCAAACTGTTGATGTTTTACTTGTTTAAAAAATAATATTTATCGATACTGTGTTGTACTTACATTATAATACCTATTTTAAATTATAAGCCTATTATTATTTATATTAATATTGTCATTTCAATTTTAATAAAAAATATGATAATAAATTGGCTGTGATAGGTACCTACTTACTTCTTTAAAATAAATCAACATTTTTAATTATTTACGTTATACGAAATATGTAAATGTATGCATAATGCAGATTAATTGTAGTACGCATTAGTTTCATAGCAAATTTACTGTATTGTAAATTGTAATAGTGATGTTTAAAATGCAATATTATTTAATAATTTATAAATTTAAAAATGGTGTATGAATACTAATCACATTGCATTTATTTCTGTAAGGAATCATTTTTAATTTAATATGGTACACGGAGAGTCAAAGACATATTTCAATAGTTTACTGTTGAATTGAAGTGACCCAGATTTACTCCTCATTCAGTTCGAAAAATAACCAAACGGATTCCAAAAAATAATACCTAATTGAGTCAAAAGCAATTAAAAAAAACATTATTACTTCCTATTTTCAGACATTGAAGTTATCATTGTAATATAACTATATGAGGTATATAATATTATGCCAAAAATAAGTGTTTTCGAGAGTATCAAATGCTAAAAAAATTAATATAATTATTGACAACTAATTTAATACATATTAATAATATGTATTTTTTTGCAATTTAATTTTTAATTTTTATAAAAACTGTGATATATATAATATGTGATAAACCTACTTATTTAGTTTCGTTATAGTAATAAATGACATACCTTTTATAGATAAGACACCGATAGGAAAATCAAATGTCAACTAGCTGTTGCATTCAATTTGGACTTATTACCCAATAGAATTCAGACAAAAATAAAATTATAAGTCCGAGACTGAACTTTATAAATAGCTAACAACGATATTCATGTAGTGAAGTATTTATATGTTTAATATAGTAAGACCAAAACTATAACTTATTATCTCATCTCTGAAAATTGTAAATAAAAATGTATGTTTTTAATAGTATACATAATACCTTTTAAAAGGTTTCACGTTAAGACTTTTGTCATCATCACTAGTAATGTGGAAGTCTATCGATAAAGGTATTGTGGACTGTTAGTTTTATATACTTCGCAGTCAATTTACAAGATTATTTTATCATGGTTTATAATTATAATATTGTGCGATTCTAAATAGTTTTTAAAGCACTTTTTAAAATTGTTTTTTGATTGATTAAAAAAAAAAATACCACAGGACACCTTTTAAACAAAATTTATAATTTTTTTAGTGATCATAAAACGTGCAAGGCAAAAATATAAAAAAAAATTGATAATTTTACTATCATAATCTACCACATAATATTATATTATCATCTTCTCATAAATACCAAATTTCGGGAAAGCATAACCTCATCAGCCGAATTTTAAATGTAATTCGAAATTACGCTAAAACAGCAATGTTCAACGATTCAAACGAGCTAATTATCCCGCGAAAATATTTTTGTACTTTTTTACAATTGAAATGTGGTTTATTTCTCTAGTAGGTAATGTTTGTCTGTTGTTTCATGGTAACATTTATTAAAAATAATGAACAAAGTAGAGCGAGAATTTGTAATTATTATTGTGAGAATAACACATAATATTATTGTACAGTTCCTCCTAAGCGCCTCGAACTAGGTGCAATAAAAATATATACTTCCGCGATACGCGTTCGTATAAGAACAATATCTCAATGAAATATAATACAGATTGACAGCCTCTTTCTGTAACAGTTGGATATGAATCGGGTGTTGGAGTTCGTTCTCCCATCTGTGGTATTGAAACATCCGATATTAATACCATTGTTATTTTCTTGAAAATATTAATTACGCCTACGCGTGGTGCGTGAAATCGAGATTAGGAGATCAGCAAAAAAAAAAAATTAGCGATAATGCAGTATTAAAGATTATAATATAATATGTACTATGGACAAACGTTAATCGCGTCCAACGACGGAAGAAAATTGAGAACTGAGACCAATATATTTCAGGTATAAATGTCTCTGTAGTCATTTGAACTCAATAAATTTCAGGAATAAATTATTTGTATGTTGTACATTTCAAGTTATACTATTTTTATGATAGTCATTTAACATTACCCAGATACCAGAGGACACCACCATCACTGTTCTTCAAAAATAAATGTTGTTTTTTCTTTTGGTTAAACGTCGAAATAAACAATTCAATAAAAAAAATGGATAATTTAAATTTTTTTAAAATTCAATACTACGATGGGGGGATATCTAATTACTTAATTACTTTTTTTTATTATTCAATAAATTATATAATCTATTATCAGCTAGAATAAGTGTTGATAATAATATAATACGTTATATTCTTATATATCGCCATATATTATAAAATAACCACATATCGATGAATTCGGGATCACTTAGACTCAATGTGTGAAATTTACTATTACACGTTTTAAAAATGCCTATCAAAAATTTACATAATGCAAAGTTCCGATCTTCAAACGATACTAAATAGTCTTAAGTCCTAAAAATATGTAGGTAGTGCACAGTCGTAGTAGGTAAAGTGTGCGCGTACAACTGTATTGTTTATTTTTTTCCAAAATGTGATGGTTCTATGTCTGCAGCCACCCGAATTTGAAAGTAACAATTTCGAATCATCTAGTCGTCTATACGAGTATACTCCTACAATATGATATTCTACCTGTACACACACACACAATACATATTTTACGTATGAAGGCACATATATGTATCGTTTCGAGTGTACGAATTAATTTTGCATTCGTACCGGACGCATAAAGTAATAATTGTGCCGACACATCTCCACTTGACACACATTCCGTGGAAGAAATACGCGCGTTTATTAAGTGACAGTGTGTTTTCATTCGATACACTCGCCTATATAATAATACATAATATCAAATAGGTGTAGTATATTATTTTATTTATACCCATACAACTGCAGCAGCCAGTGTATACTTTACATTAGTCGCCATCGAGGAGAGATACAAATGAAAATCAAAGCCATATATATACGCGCGCGCATAATAATATAATAATATTTCGACGAGTCGTGTACGATGCGAGATTGGTTTGTATGGAACATTGAAAAGTTGATCAGCTGTGTAGAATGCGACACAGATATTATTATTATTATTATTATTATCATTATTATTATTATTATTATTATTATTATTATTATTATTATTTATTATTATATTACTAGTATTGTTATTACTACAGCCGATCGCCCACTAGGATACCATTTTTTACGGTGAGTATTTTCACGATATCGGGCGAGTACGTCTAATCTAATAAACAGAAAAAAACGATTCGTCATTGATTTGATCACATACGCATCACATTAGCCGGTACCTAATAGATTCAAGTGAAAATCAAACGTCGTAAGCTATGCATGCATGCATAATATATAATATCGCGACTAGTCAGTAGTCGTGTACTCGTGTACGACACATAGGCGGAAATCCATTAGAATTTCTGGGGGGGCTAAACTAAAATAAAAACTATATTCAAATAATTTGATAGATATCGAAAAACAAAGAAACACATTGTGTCGCATATTTTGTTGAATTGAATCTGAAAGCATTTTAACAGCCTATAAGTACACATAAATACAACAAAAAAAGACCATAAAAGAATAAAGTTTATTAAAATTATTGTAACACAATTGTTCTATTTTTTCTTGCAAATTTGTTGATTATGGAGTCATTGTCAATATGCTTTACAATATCCTTTTCAATATTAAGTATTGAAATTGTGTTGAAACGATTTTGAAGCATAGATGTTCTTAACCATGTTTTTAAGCGTCTAATTGCCGAAAAAGAACGATCACATGTTGATGAACTAATTGGAAGAGTGATCGCCACTTGCAACAATTTGTACACATTTGGGTAGACTTGCTTTGAGACATATTTTTTTATATCTTCAAGTTTAAAATCATTTTTATCGCATGAACTTTTAATACAATTTTTGGCAACTGTCATTTCTGATCTTAAATCTTGTTTAGATATGACCAACAAGTCCTGAAAATATTTTTTGAAGTAAATCAATTTATTTAAATGTATATCATGCATATTATTCAAATAGTATATACCTGATAATGGTCTTTTAAAACATTTGGTGATTCGTGTGTTAGATTATTTTGTTTTTTATTTACATTAAAAATATCATAATATGTAGTACTTTTAGACATTTTATTATTTATTATTATTTTATTATTAAGGCTCACCAACGGTTAAAGAACATTTTAAAAATACGAGATATAAAAATATAAAATAATTACGGAGTAGCCACTATTAAAACAGATTAACACACTAGGTATAGCGGCGACGGCGGCGGCGGCGGACTTGTTTACAATGTGACGCGTGTTACTTCGTGCGGGACTATGCTGCGGACTGGTAACTGACGGTTTAGTTTTTCTGATATATATAGATGCGAGATAATGCTCTCGATTGTTCTCGAATAATCTTAAAGATATTATGACGTTATCGATTATATAATGTTTCTCGAAGGTTCTCGATAAGCACTAACGTACGAGAACATTCGCGAATAAGTACTGTACAATTAGTAAATATATATATCATATATTTTCACATAAAGACGACAACATTTTGGGGGGGCTATTACAATATTTGGGGGGACTAAGTCCCCCAAAGCCCCCCCCCCCATTTCCGCCTATGGTACGACACGAGATTGGTTTGTGCGGGACGACGAAAAGTTGATCAGCTGTGTAGAATGCGACACAGACATTATTGTTGTTTTATTAATATTATTATTACTATTGATTATTGATGTTCTGACTATTTTCGTACCCACCTAAGTCTTAATCTAATAAACAGAAAAATATAGCATGCTACTAGATATTTTTCCTTAAGCAAGGAAATTGAAGAATCATAGAATAAAGACTTTTGGGTATTTTACAATGATAAAACATCTAGTAGCATGCTACATTTTGTTGGAAATTTAACGAGTTAAGAAGTAGAATTGCTTATTAATATGTATACGTATATTATTGATTTGCGTTTCGATGGCGATACACAAAGCGTCACAATCAAAAAACATATTTATAAGAAAAATATTTGGGGGTTCAGAAGTAAAAAATTTTAAAAAAATGTATCAATAATAGCAACACATTTTTGTTTATTTATACCCATACAACTTTATATTAGTTACCACTGAGGAGATACAAATGGAAAACAAATGTCGTTTGTATAAACGCGATAAGTCGTGTACGGTGCCTGATTGGTTTGTGTGGAACGTTGAAAAGTTGATCACCTGTATAGTATGCGACACAGATATTATTATTTATTAATTATTATATTACTGTTATTATTATTTTTATTACAGCCGACAGCCAATTAGGATACAATTTTTTAAGCTGCGCATTTTCACAATATGATGTTCAGATTACTTGATGGTATTTTTCTAATATTATAAACAAAAATAAATTCTGGAGGAATTTTGATCATTTATGAGGAACTGTAATACTGTTTATTATTTATCTTTATGAAATTTTATATGCAACGCGTTATCTCATAAAAATGGTTTAAAAAGGTCTTGATAAAAAATCATGCATTTCTCTATAATGAGGGTTATGTCTGCATGGATATTTTTTTGAAGTAAGTGCGTGTAGTAAACGGTATTTGTAATTAGGTAAGTTACCAATGATATTTTTGAATTTTCTAACTGATGAAAAGCTCACATGGCTATAAGTTATAATTAATAATATATATATGCACTGTTGCTCTTTATTGCGTGAATAAGTGAATAAACTGTTTAACGTGTTTATAAAATGTCTACACGATTTGAATAATAATTTTAATTCAGACTAGAGAACACATATTTTACGCGTGCATGCTCTATCGAGTATTAACGTGAAGAACACGCGTACAACGAATTACTTTTTATGTTCTGATAAAATCTGACAGCATTTTTATTGCTCTCCACATCAATCAAAATGTGTGTTTTTTAAGGGACAATATTAATAATGTTCATAAGCGCATTATGCGTTTAACTGCTATTATACAAAATTACCTACGATGAAGATAAAATGTAAGAATGCTAATTTATTTAGAAACCACCGTAAATAAATTGTATTTAGTACAAATTAATTGTCGGTAGTTATTATAATAATATTATTAATTGCAATGTATAAAAATAGTACAATGTATTATTTGAATATTTTTTTTTTAATCACATTTTTCACTGTGATTTATTTGTATAGGGTTATTTCAGACCCTGAAACTGTGTTTAATTATAGAATTTAAATTTCTTACACTGTATGTCGTAATGATAATAATAATAATATATATTCCAATAAGTGAACGAACAGGTGCATACTGATAAAATGATTTGTAAAAACTAAAAAGTAGTGTTCTATACATACTATCATGCCATACTGTGTTTGTAGGATTCTTGGTATATTATTTTAACGAATTGTATACATTTACAGAAAATGTGTTCGCTGCTCCAGTCGGACGTATTTGTAAACGGTTGCACAAAAAAGTGGGATTATACAATAATTATTTCGGAATGATTAATAAACGGTTCTCTATGTTCAGGCATATACGGTATACCTATCATTAATCTGCAGTATAAATGGACGCGCATCATGATATAGGTACGCTTTTCTTCTGCATCACGAATTTATAAATATTTCATTTTTTAAAAGTAGGTTATTTATAATAACCTTTGTTTGAAAATAGTTTTGGGCGCATGGCTTTCGGAATTAATTAGGCCACCTTTTATATTTTCAACGCATCTTATATTATTCATATTATTATAAAGTATAAACGTTTAGTATATAAACTATAAAGTGAAACTTTGAAAACTCAACAACTCGAATAAACGATTTAGTGAATGACCGTCCAAAAATGTAAGGTGCTGTTATTATTTATGTGTGATCTACCGAATAAAATGAAACTAACAACGTTCGGTGAATATAGTATACAATTTTTCTTAAGTACAAAATCAATTTGTTTTCTTGATGAATAACCTCCAATAGATTATTAGATCGATCCGCTGTTGTTTATTTAAGTAGATCGACAAAATAATATTATAATAACTGTTAATATATCAGTTTATACTATAACAGAAACGTAATAAATTATCAACATTGTCAATTGTCATTCAATAACTATATGGCTGTATTATCATTTATCATTAATTATAAAATAACAAAAATTAATTTGACCATATTTTTATGAAACTCGTTATGCACAAGGAATTAGAATAATGTTATCATCTGTAATAGCTAATCGAATAATATTATTTTTAAACTACAAACTATTTTATCAACCGGGATCGTTATCAAATAAAAGCGTTTGACATTTCTTTAACAATATTAGCTTTGGGTATATTATGTGTTAGAGATATAAATAGTGCTGGTAGTACGCATACCATATTGTAGTATTGTTGCAGGTGTCTGGTACATCGTTGTGTATGTAAATTATACGCTTTTCTTTATCCGAACGAAGATATTCTATGACTATAATTGGTCTTATACATAATATAATGCGTTTCGTACATTCATATTATACTTAACGGCGTTATTATTTATTCACTCACATTTTTCATGCAGTCAACATTGAGAACATATAACCACGTTGTTTATTTAATACTGTGTTGAGACTTAAGTACAACTAAAATAATTATAAACAGTTGGTGTATAAAAAGCGTGACATGATGACATATCATCAAAAATAATCAATGTTTTTTTAATGTATTTATAAGTATAAGTAATATATTGCATGTTATTCATACTATACAAAATAATATGTTGCACAAATTGTAAATAACCAATAAAATGAATAGGTGCAATTATTTAATTATTTAACTCGAGGAGTTTAAAATTATACTTTATTCATTTATTAAATATGGTCTCTTGTCAGTATTGATCCGTTTCAGTGATGATACAGTAAATATAATGTTTAAACGTATAATATAATGCTATATAAATATATAATGATCATTGGTGGTACTGCATTGATACAAATGATATACAATATAGTAATGTAGAGTAAATTTGTAAATACTCAGTGTGCCGTACCTAACTATTAACCATGTAAGTCTTGAAAGTGTTGTACAAAACTACAAAATATAACAACGTTATCGTTCTACACTGGTAAACTTGACACTGGTAACCTTGGCACCGATGCTTTAATTTCTCAATGAAAATAATGATGCATACCTATTAAACGTATAGTGACTAGTGTGTGGTATCTGCAGTACTTATTAATATTAATGCACTAGTGCGCTAAACGATAACAAGAAAATTGTATGCACCTACTAAGATATTTTAAAATACATACACTTTTACCAATATAAAAGTGTAGCATTAAAAATAAGTATTTAATGTTTTTAAAACTCTTGAGGATTAAGTTTGCAGTTTGAAACTCACCTCTGTACATTCAAGTCAGTAAATTATGTGATATCGTGTTATATCATCGTATATTCAGAAAATATTAATTAAAATTTTTTTGAAATTTTCACATAACCTAGCTATAGTGTAATATTACCATATTAGTAATACTGCTATGAACGGAACTCATTTTATTGCAGTAGTGTAGTTCACCTGAAGTATTTTTTTTAAAAATCTTTTTATTAATCTACTTAACCCTCGTTAATGTATATATTAGTTTTTTTACATTAACTATATGGTATAATAATATTGACCTTGACTCTTTTTAATATGAGAATAATATTATTGTTAAGTCTATTTTTTTTTTGATATTGCATGGCCCCAGTAATTAAAGTATATAATTTTATATTTTCATATTTCCATACTTTTATAGGATACCTCGACATTTTCGTTCGATAAATACCAACAATTAAATATTTAACTAATTATAATATTGAAATCAGCGAAACCCAAAATAAATTTAGTAAACAAGATAATAATATCATCCAGGTTACTATAGTTATAATTTAGAGACAGATTAGAGTAAAGTATGAATACCTAATGAATATGCTTATGATACGTGCATATATGTCTGTATTGATCATTGATTAATGATTGAATTTTAGACGATGGAAATTATTATAATATCGAATTAAAAAATCGTATTGATCATTTAAAATTATTTAAAGTTCTTGAATCTAAAAATTCGATGGTATTATAATTGTGTATAACC